ACCGAGGTCTTTAACCCTTTACTGTCCGTAGTACATACAAGCATCGATCCAATGGGATCGATGGGGTACGCATTAAAATAAGCCACATAGTTGTGTGGTATGTTGCTTTGCGTGCTTGAATCGTGGTTTGACCGTATTGTCCAATTGTCTTGCCAGTATCGTCATCGACATACATGTACATGTACATCCGCCAACGTTCTCCACAGCTGAGACTTTCAGCTTGTGCTTGTCTTGGTTGCGCCCACCTTCACCTTCTATGTTTATGTACGGTGCTAGAACTTAGAACCTTCCAAGTTGGAAGGTTGCTGGAGTGCGCATCTAAGACGTGCTAGAGCTAATTGGCAGTTAGTTGTAGAACGTCAGTACCGGGTATACTGTTGGTCAGTGTCGTGCAATGTTATCGCAAGAACTGATTGTCCAGTAACTAGTGGTGTTAGTGGACATTGTAGCGTAACTTGTAGTTCCTTGGTCCTTTCTCTTTTCTATAATCATCCTTGGCTTTCCATCCGAATATACTTATAATAATATCTGTGGTTCTCGTACCCATGGCTGACAGTTCAATCCTATATTAAGGTCGGAGTTGCACTGATGAGGCCTCATTGGCCGAAACAGTCTGGCTGTCTGCATCATTGAGTATTTCGCTCCTCGATTTCGATCTTGTAGAGCACTCTAAATAGGACGCACTTGCGCTGGTTAGCTTTATGCTTTGCCCGCTGCTTCTAGCAGTTTGAGTACTCTCAGCGCTAGTACATCGAGCTGTCCTAATGTCTGTGGTTCTCGTAGCTATGGCTGACAATTCAATCCTATATTAATTAAGCTCGGAGTTGCACTGATGAGGCCTCATTGGCCGAAACAGTCTGGCTGTCTGCATCATTGAGTATAATTATTATTATTATAAGTTCAACTCGGATGGTGAGCCACTTAAGGTGGCAGTCTGGGTTCAGAGGGTCAAAAAACAAAGTTTCGATTTTCTGTATTTTTTCACTGGCACCGTCTTGTGTATGGTCCAAAGGGTTTATCCTGAAAATTTGAGCGTAATCGGGTGCTTCCTTCCGGAGATATAGCCGCGCAAAGTATGCACAATTGTTTTTGAAATACTGAAATATCAGCAAATTTCTACAAAATTTAGGTTTGCACACTATTCCGATTTTTACCGTCAATCTTTGAGCGATTTCATTAAAATTTTCTGGAGCGACTCCTGGTACTCCTCTGCGCTGCAGACTGACAGCCGCGCACGATGTTTGTCACCATGGCAACCAAGATAACTTTTGCGCATGCGCAAATTCAAAAAAAATTCAAATTTCGACTCTCATGATCTCAGCTGATCGCTCTGCTCTTGAAACTTTTGGAGTAATTGTTTTGGAGTAATTGTTTCTTGGAGCTAACCCCTTCGTTGGCTACTATGGGGAAGTCTAGAGCCAAGGGAAAGCCCGGACGATCTAAGAAAAGGAAAAGAACGTTCTATGGAGTGTCTCAGGCGCCGAAGGCTCCCTCTGGTAAAATTTCGCCTGCAGAACAAATTCCTGACTTGCCACTGTCTGATGACGACCTTGAAGTGTCAGCTGAAGCCACGTCTTCAAGCAGCGATAGTGATGGAAGTGGCGGTGAAGTCGACAGCAGTTCCTCCGACAGTGACTTGGATGAAGAGTGTGAGGAAGGGGCGCATGGATTTCGCCTGATTGATCTCGAGTGCCTTCAGCAGCTTTTGTCAGCTGCAGTTTGTTGCAGTGGCTGTAATGGCGCAGTCACGATCAGCGAATCGCAACGGGGAGGCCTTGCATCATGCCTGGAGCTTTCCTGTGTTAACTGCGGCGACATAGCAAGCGAATTTATGTCCAAGAAGTTCAATCGGGTCTGGGAGGTGAACAGACGAGCAGTATTCGGAATGCGACTGATTGGCCGTGGACGTCAATCAATGGTAAAGCTGGCGGGTGCACTGAATATGCCATCACCTATGAGTCGGTCGACATTTTACAGCCATGCTAAAGGCCTGCATTCCGCGTCCAAGAGCGTCGCTGAGCGTAGCATGACTGAGGCAGCTGAGAAAGCAGTGTCCGCAGCAGATGGGGGTAGCGATATCGCTGCTTCCTATGACGGTACCTGGATGCGCCGAGGATTCGCATCGCTCTTCGGAGCCTTCACTATAATTGCATATGATGTCGGCAAAGTGGTGGACTGCGAAGTGCTTTCAAAGTTTTGCCACAAGTGCACGCACTTGGCGTCTAGAAAAGAGAAGGGAGAGCTAACCAAAGATGACTATGATCGACAGATTGCCGAACACGATTGCTCAGTCAACACCACTGTATCAGCTCCTGCCATGGAGAGTGCAGCCGCCAAGACTCTGTGGGCCAGGTCCTTTGAGAGCCGCAAGCTGAGGTACACCACCTACATTGGTGATGGAGATACCAAGAGTTTTAAGGCTGTGCGTGACGCTTGTCCGTATGGGCCCGAGGTGCCTGTAGTCAAGGAGGAATGTGTCGGCCACGTTCAAAAACGCATCGGTACCAGCCTAAGAAAGCTGAAGAAAAACCTTGCGGGCAAGAAGCTTGCTGATGGGCGCACTATAGGCGGACGTGGTCGCCTCACGGATGCCATGATCGACAAGCTGCAAGCCTACTATGGCATGGCTGTGCGGAACAACAGCGGAGACTTGCAAGCCATGGCCAGGGCCATATGGGCATCCCTCATGCATCGTGCATCCAGCGACAGTAAACCTCAGCACCAGTATTGTCCGCCTGGAATTAACAGCTGGTGTAGATGGCAGCAGCAACAGGCAGGTGGTGATGTCTACGCCCACCACAATATCCTGCCAGAGGCAGTATGGAAGGAACTGAAGCCGGTCTACATTCGGTTGTCCGACCGGAGTTTGCTCGAGCGCTGCCAGAAGGGTGCTACGCAGAATCGCAACGAAGCGTTCAATGGACTCGTGTGGCAGTTGTGTCCAAAGACAGGCTTTGCATCCGCTCCCACTGTCCAGATGTGCGTCTACCTGGCCGTGGCCTGGTTCAATGATGGAGGTGTGGCAGTGAAACGCGTTCTGGACGAGATGGGCCTCCCTACTGGATACCATACGACACGTCTCATCAAGCTGCTAGACCGTGAGAGACAGGCACATGCTGCCAGAAAGAAGTCAGAAGAAGGGAAGAGGTCACGAAAGAAGCGAAGGAGGATCAGGAAGGGCATCCAGGATGAGCAGCAAGAGGAAGAAGGTTTGACATATGAAGCTGGTGGCTTCGACTAAGTTCTAGTAAGTTCTAGTTGGACAGACATACCTCCATCTGTACTTGCACAGAGCACTTTTTTTCTCCATTTTCCACTGAGTCCCGTACCTCTTAGACAGCGTAGCAAAGAACCTGTAAGTCACAGACCCCATAAACCATACATTTTTGGAAACTGTGAGCATTTATCAAGGTGCTAAGTGTCATGGATTTTTATATTTGTGTAGTAGCTTTGAGTAAAGTGCTACTGATCGAGGACCTAAATTTTGCGCGATTGCATGATTTTTGTTTGACAGCTTGAGTACTTTGTTCTGAATATGATTTCAAAATTCCGCTCCACTTAGCACCTAGGTATATGTGAAGGAAATCCTGTGGAGCACTCAGTTTCTACCCAGCTTCTTTCTGCGTTTGCATATTGCGTCTAAGGTATTGGTGGTACGGCATAATCGCAGATTTGACTATTGTGCCTGCGGATTCCCATGTGTGAGCTTGATTTATACTTCATTGGATTTAGTGAAATACACTGGGTATGTGGTCAAGATTTGAGCAAAATTCATCAATTATTATGGAAGTTACGGCTGTGTTCATGCGGTCGGGCCGCGAACCCAGACTGCCACCTTAAATTATGGTGAAAAGGGAGAAGGACAAAATGTTACGAGTTATGACTAACTAACTGTCCACCTTGCTGGCTATGTGTTTTGGGCAACATTACCAACGCAGGCCAAGACCAGCACGTCGATGGATAATTTTGTTGCTAAAATCTCTGCTCAATTATAGGTTTCATGTATATCCTGCTGGTTTGTCTCCTCCTTTGCCTTCTTTGCCTCTTATTTGTATTCTTTTATCTGTTTTACTGCTGTGGTTGGCTCTCACCCTTGTCTCAGTTTTATTGGCCGTCATCATGATGTGCCATGAGATAATGATATAAATACAAAACATACACCAACGTAACCAGATCTTATACAGTCAGCGAGTGCGACAAAATGGCACAAAACTGACTAGGAGTATTGAGACATTCGGCGACCTGACACCTAGCTCCAACACTTCTCCAAGGCGCAAACCAACAACCTTCCAACTTGGAAGGCTCAGGTTCGGAAAGGTTCAAGAGGGGAAGGAAAGCGCAACGAAAAAGAGCACGAGCTACGCATCACGGCAACAAAGAATGCCGAAAGTTACTGGATGATGACGAAACTGGTATTGGACATACCGGCCTTACTACAACTCGACGACACAAAGCAACAGACCACCCAACTTGGGAGGCCCAAGTTTATGTAGTAAACATAGAAAGGGGAAGTCGAGTTGTAGTAAGGCCGGTATGTCCAATAGTCTTACCAGTTTCGTCATCATCCTGTAACTTTCGGCATTCTTTGTTGCCGTGATACGTAGCTCGTGCTCTTCTTCGTTGCGCTTTCTTTCCCCTCTTGGACCTTTCCGAACCTGAGCCTTCCAAGTTGGAAGGTTGTTGGTTTGCGCCTTGGAGAAGTGTTGGAGGTAGGCGTCAGGTCGCCGAATGTCTCAGTAGGTCTACTCCCTATGAGTTTTGTGCCATTTTGTCGCACTCGCTGACTGTATAAGATCTGGTTCATCTGACGTTGGTGGACAGTTAGTCATAACTTGTAACATTTTGTCCTTCTCCTTTTTCACCATAATATTATTATACTTTCAATTTTTCAGTTGGGGCTGTGTTTTGGCACTTATAGTGTCACTACCTTTCAGAGCTCACTGACTTGTCAGTTTGAGCACTCTGGCAAGGTATGTTCGGGCCTGGTTTTGATTTACAAGTACTCTGATTTAGCTTCGGAAGATTTATTTTTCATTGCTATCAGGTTCGGCCTCATTTCCTCTGTGCTGGGCTGGTGAGTCCACAAAGGAGGAAACAGTTCTGTCCGCAGATTGAGTGTCACTACCTTCCTGTAAGCCGAAACAATCTGCGAGGAGAAAACCTTTTTCTGCTTTGTTGTTATCAGCACATGAGGTTGCACCACGGACAAAGGCTATAAATTGCACCTCCCAGAGGGTAAGAGGGAGGAGGAGGGACTAGGGAGGGAGGGATGGTTGGCGGTATTGTTGTTATGTCGTTAGCAAGGCATACATGAAATTGATCTGTGGAAACACCAGGGACGTCAACATTGAATAGCACTATGTCACCAGGTGCTGAAAACCGAAATCCGGCCAACTGGTAGCGCTGTAAAGCGAGGTGAGAAAAGCGTGCAAGTATCTATCAGTAAGTTCATACAGTCATGATGATAACACAATTGGGCTTAGAATCATCATCATCATCTGCGTTGCCGAAAAAATAATAATAGTGAAATAAAAATAATAAAAATAAATAAACGGCATTATGCAGCTGTGTAAGCAGTAGATGCACAGTGTGACTTAGAATAGAAAGGTCGAAATAGCTCCGGAGATTGGGCGAATTTTAGGGGTGTAAATTTTGTGAACCTACAGGCTACAACTTACAAGTACAATGACTATGGCCATGCCCAGGGCCATGGACACACCATGCATGGTACCCTGGCTTCAGTGTTGTAGCAAGTAGCGGCTTGACGCTCGCAGCTTGAGCTGTCAATCATGAGATGATGAGTAGACTACACATGACTACTGCTAGTATTAGTACACCTTTCAGTGCACACAACCATGCCATGTAGATCTATCATCTACTGACCGTTCCGTTTTAGTTGTGTGGGACTCGACGCGACGTCGACAAGAGTAATGACTATTATGTTGTCTCATGGCGGTCGATTCAAATGTTTCAAATCTCTGGGAGGTAAAGATGAGTACAGTAGCGGCAGGCGGAATCAAAATAATTCGATCCTATCAGTATCATCTCCGGCCCCAGGCAACAGCAGTCGTTGAATGGTAGATCTACAGTTAGGGAGGACAGAAATGTAAAATTATTGAAAGGACGCTGCCTGTCTTTAGTGGGAGTGGTGTCTTTGCTGTGCAGCGCTTCCCTGAACACGTACCTGGTGAGTTAGCTAGCTCGAACTCGGAAAGAGAGAGGGAGGTTCTGTCTTCTGGCTTCGTAAGCACACCTCGGTCGTCGTTCAAGCACGACGAATCCGAGTGAGTGGAGTTGGGAGCTGTCGACTTCCAGCACACGTAGCCGAGGACCATGGCTTCTGTAGACTTCAAGTTCAAGGAGAATCAGCCGCCGCCGCTACAGCACGCTATGGAGAAGAGGGACGACGCAAGCAAGTCAAACAGAGGGTGGCCTAGTGCGGTAGTGCCACTACTAGTGGCGGGCACAGCCCCAGTGGCAGTGGAACTGGAAGCGAGTACGAGTGCGGCGCGCGCAGGATGCATGTCTGCAGGCGTGACCTCGGGAGATGTGAAAGAGAAGATTCTGGGTCTGTCGAGCCCTCATCGTGTTCTACGGTCTCAGCAGGCTGCGGAGGCGTTCGTCGTCGACTTCGCCGATGTTCACACTTGTCCAGTTCAGGCACAGCCCGCTAACGCTGCATACGATGATGATGACGAGGGGTCAACCAGCGACGACGGGCAGCCGCGTGCGCGCGAAGATTGCGAGGGTTCGTGTAGCGACCACGATGCTGGAGAAGACTTGCCAGAGCAAGCACACGGAGAAGAACTACTTCATGAGGTTGGTGGTCCACCATGTCCACGTAACGGCGACACCTGGAACGCCGAGGGCGAAAAGGGCAATGGCAATGGGGCGGCTGCGTGCCTGAGCACCAACACCAGAGCTGGCGATAGTAACGAAGACGACACCGACAACTCCGCAGCAGCCATGCCGCCCAGGGCCCAAAGAAAGGCCGGAAAGAAAGAGGTCGGCGACACCGCCGCTAAGACAGAAGAACCATCTCTGCAAAGTGCATTTCAGAAATTCCGTGCCAAACGCCAGGTAGGTAGTATTGTGAAAACCAAACGCAAACCTGTCGCCCCCGCCGGTAAGAAAAAAGCTGCCGGGAAACGAAAGCGTGTTGCAGTAAAAGCGAAGAACAAAACTGGCATAACATCAGCCAGAGGTCGACCAGGCACGGCGCGGGGTGCGCAATTGGTTGCAAAATCCGCGAGGGTAAGCATGAGCTGGTGATGGTGATGGTGGTGGTGGTGGTGGTGGTGGTGGTGGTGGTGGTGGTGGTGGTGGTGGTGGTGGAAGTGGGCATTGCCAACCGCTGATGTGGCATCGTTTGAAAAATGCACTTGTGATGACACTGTGGCTTGTTTGTTCTGTGCGTGTGTGTGTGTGCGTGTGTGTGGTGTCTGCATGCATGTGTGCGTGTGTGTCTGCATGCGTGTGTGCGTGCGGGTTCCGGTCTGTCTGTCCATTTGTCGGTCTGTCCGTGCGTACGTCTACCTCTCTATCCGTGTTCTACATCACTATGCCGCTGTGTTTGCAACACTCACGACAACCCTCATCCACCTTGACCCCAGCGTGATCTTAAGCTGCAGCAGAATCGGGCCAACATCAAGCGCACAGACGCGGCGGAAATGGAACGGCTGCGATGCATGTTTCTAGAGAGGACAAAGCATTACTTCGGCGTGCCCTACGCTAAGAGATATCAGAAAGCAGGAAGTAAGTGGTCACTGGAAAGTGGAAGTTGCTACGGTGAGCTGCTGGTGCTCTTGGGACTCTGGTCGGCTGAATACACCCGGACGCACCCCCACTACCCTCCCCTCCCCCCCCCCCACGCACACACACACACACGCTTGCGCGCGCAATGCGGGTGTGTGTGTGTGTGTGTGGTACATGGTGTGTGTATGCGTGCGCGCGTGCGTTTGCATATGTGCATGCATGCATAGGGGAATGTACACGTGTAATTCTAGGTCTAGCCAGTTATGGTTGTTCTCTTCTGCCTAGTTGTGGTATTGCTCCATCTTGTTCTGGTGTTGATCACTCTAGGTAATCTGGGAATTCTTGCTATTGTGTGTGTGTGTGTGTGTGTGTGTGTGTGTATGTGTGTGTGTGTCACTGTGTGTGTGTGTGTGTGTGTGTATATGGGTGTGTGTTCATGTGTGTGTATGTGTATGTGTGCGGATCATGAATTCTGACCCGGCATGCTGTTCAGCTCCAGAGTACGATGCACCGCTGTTCCTGGACTGCTGCGGGCTAGTGAGACAAGTGCTGCGTGACTTGGCCGACGAGTTTGGCTTTGCCGTAGGACCTTGGAACCAGGCATACATGGTAGGGATGGAACCAGGCATACATGGTAGGGATGGAACCAGGCATACATGGTAGGGATGGAACCAGGCATACATGGTAGGGATGGAACCAGGCATACATGGTAGGGATGGAACCAGGCATACATGGTAGGGATAGAACCAGGCATACATGTTAGGGATGGAACCAGGCATACATGTCAGGGTGGAACCAGGCATACATGTTAGGGATGGAACCAGGCATACATGGTAGGGATGGAACCAGGCATACATGGTAGGGATGGAACCAGGCATACATGGTAGGGATGGACCCAGGCATACATGGTAGGGATGGAACCAGGCATACATGGTAGGGATGGAACCAGGCATACATGGCAGGGATGGAACCAGGCATACATGGTAGGGATGGAACCAGGCATACATGGCAGGGATGGAACCAGGCATACATGGTAGGGATGGAACCAGGCATACATGGCAGGGATGGAACCAGGCATACATGGTAGGGATGGAACCAGGCATACATGGTAGGGATGGAACCAGGCATACATGGTAGGGATGGAACCAGGCATACATGGTAGGGATGGAACCAGGCATACATGGCAGGGATGGAACCAGGCATACACGGTAGGGATGGAACCAGGCATACATGGTAGGGATGGAACCAGGCATACATGGCAGGGATGGAACCAGGCATACATGGTAGGGATGGAACCAGGCATACATGGTAGGGATGGAACCAGGCATACATGGTAGGGATGGAACCAGGCATACATGGTAGGGATGGAACCAGGCATACATGGCAGGGATGGAACCAGGCATACACGGTAGGGATGGAACCAGGCATACATGGTAGGGATGGAACCAGGCATACATGGCAGGGATGGAACCAGGCATACATGGTAGGGATGGAACCAGGCATACATGGTAGGGATGGAACCAGGCATACATGGTAGGGATGGAACCAGGCATACATGGTAGCAAGAGTACATAAACCAGAGTGTGCAACTGTGCATATCAGATCTGAAACAGCGCAGTTCGTGCACTACGTCACCCTGATGAGATCAGCCAAGCCGCGACTTGCGTACAGCTCAAATTTTCATGTTTCATAGCCCGGAAATCAGCGAAGTTTGCTTGATTTTAGACGTCCTGTTTCAGGATTTCGGTGTTTTGTGTGACTGTGTACGCTGCGTACATCCACCGACAAGTAAAGTCACCAGGCTATCCGTCTCAAAAAACCGAAATCAGGACAAACTCAGTGAACTGCACCACCGCGACTGGTTACGCAACTTTTCACCGTACCTGTGGCGTACCATGCCGTCAGAAATGACGTAGTGCACGAATTACGCTCCCACAGGAACCATCCCGAGTTGCACACTCTGGTTTATGTACTCTTGATGGTAGGGATGGAACCAGGCATACATGGTAGGGATGGAACCAGGCATACATGGTAGGGATGGAACCAGGCATACATGGTAGGGATGCCGGGCTTGCTGTACAGTACTGTCGATCGTCGTAGAACTGGGGAGTCGGCCTCCTAGCCTAGACCGGGCCGTTCGTGTTTTCATGTGTTACAGCCTATGCACAGTCGAGTCACCGTGTGTACATTGCTATGCTGTGCTTGGAGAAATTCTAGCCTGGGCGTTCTTCAGCACTCGGTTCTTTGGCACCAGACAGTACTGTAGAGATTGAGTGATTAAATCACCAGTTGAGATGTTTTGGCAAAGTCACCTGCCCTCCCTCCCTGCCTTCCTCCCTCTCTCCCTCCCTCTCTCCCTCCCTCCCTTCCTCCCTCCCTCTCTCCCTCCCTGCCTCCCGATACAATACCGTATTTCCCCGTAAGTTAGTACGTACTAACTTTCGAACTTAGCAGCCACATGAGTACTAACTTTCGGGGGTGGTACTATCTTTCGGGGAGTACTTTTTTATCGGGGGTAAATGACACGCAGTGGGAAGCCTGAGCAACTCTAGTGTCCGTGCATATGATGTATGTACTGTACGGTGTCTGTACATGTAGGACGGGTACGAACTTACTATTTTTCGGGGGGAACTGTCTTTCGGGGTGATAACCTCGGCGGTGGAAAGTGTATTTTTTATAGGGGGTACTAAGTCATAGGGGAGAACTAACTTACGGGGAAATACGGTACTGCTATAGCAATGTTCACGCTTTACATATTCGTGATGTGTTTGCCGCCGTCCCCCACCAACCTTGAACTTCACCCCTCACCCGGGTAATATGTTGTTGTTGTTGTTGTTGTTGTTGTTGTTGTTGTTGTTGTTGTTGTTGTTGTTGTTGTTGTTGTTGTTGTTGTTGTTGTTGTTGTTGTTGTTGTTGTTGTTGTTGTTGTTGTTGTTGTTGTTGTTGTTGTTGTTGTTGTTGTTGTTGTTGTTCCTGCAGTATGATACCTTACCGATCAAGCTCAGCGGACCAGAAGAGATGAAGCCTGGTGACCTGGTCTTTGTGTCCGGCATCTACAACAATCCAAAGTGTAAGATTTGAATGATGCTGTAGACAGCTAGCTGTTTCGGCCAGAAAGGCCTCATCAGTGCAGCTACGAGCTTTTTAGGCAAGCCGAGCTAACAGCCATGGTGCAAAGGAGACAAAGTGTAAGATTTGAATGATGCTGAATTGCTGTGCTGCAGAATCACATGCGAGTACAGTACAATCTGTCAAGGCGACCGCTCGGATAAATCGACCACTTGTCCAAAAAGACCAATACACAACTAGGACCAATGGATGCCATTTCCGGTCAAATGACCCTGCAAAAGAAGATTGCCTGTACACAGGCTTGAGGGACCACATTTTTTTGAAGGTCCCTTGAGCGGTCGGCTTAGACAGGTTTCACTGTACTTGTGAAACCTGTGACTAACGACCACCCCTTGGGGCCAGAGAAAGCGGTCTTTAGTGGCAGACGGTCCTTGGAGGTTTGCACGGCACAGCCATGTACTGTGTATGAATGTGAGAGCGTCCGTGCCTGGAGAAGTGGTCGGTAGTGCCAGGCTGGTCGCTAGTCACGGTGGTCTTTAGTTACAGGTTTTTACTGTATGCGCCTTGCATGTGTTTGCACACTGAAATGCTTTTTCCTGGAATGCAGGGGTAAATGCAGTTGGATCACCGGGCAGATTCTTTGATGTCACTAATCCCTTTCTGCACCTCGTGCTCGCCCACTTGCTCTGGTCAGCCGATAGTCATAAGTGGGATCATTCTCAAGTCATTTCAATGTCTGAGGATTTCAGAGGGTGTCGCCCACTGGAGCAAGTACAAGGGCTGTTCACGTGTGTGTGTGTGTGTGTGTGTGTGTGTGTGTGTGTGTGTGTGTGTGTGTATGTGTGTGTGTGTGTGTGTGTGTGTGTGTGTGTGTGTGTGTGTGTGTGTGTGTGTATGTACGTGTGCATGCACGTGGTATGTGTATGTGTGTGCATTTTGTCGACTTGTCACAGCCAGGAAACAGATTCATAACATGGTACATGTGGAAGTATGGGCTGGTGACGGCCTGAAGACAATCGGAGCAAGGTGGTTCCGTGGCAAGTAAGTTCAATTTGTTTGCTCGTATAATAGATTTTATTATACGAGCAGAAATGGTGGCCTGGAATTTTTTCGTCTTTTTGCCGAAGGAATTTCCGGACAAAATTAAATGCCGGAATAACGTCGATTTGTCAATACGATTTATAGTCCCTTGACTGTATTTTCAACCGGGCAAACTCCCGTTTTCGGAATTTGACGGAATTATTCATCGACTAAAATTAATGTTCTGCCAGTACAGTTACGTGTTCACTGTAGTTAATAAAAAATAAATAAAAAAAGTAAATTACCGTGTCCGTTCCCGAAGGGAACTCACGACGGCCGCTAACACCCGGTAAACCCTAGTGTAGTTAGTAATAGCAAGAGTAGATAAACAAGAGTGTGCAACTCGCGGATCCGCGCGGATGGGTTGGCCCACGGCGGAATTTTTGGTCGACGTAATCCTTTCGACGACCCACGCGCTGCTAGTCTTTTGGAAAGTTTTGCCTCATGCACTTGGCTGGGCTTTACATTAAAGGGGAAGTTAAGGCAAAAATCAAAATTTCACCAGTTGTAGTCTTCGGGGTGCTGAGTCGAATGGTCTTGGTCCGAGAAAGCTGAGACGCTCCCTTCCTACTTGAATCCCAATCGAACTCGTGCACTTCCACCGAAACTGGGTGACTGCGCCCTACTAGATGGGGATTTGTATGCAAAATGTCACTAAAAGCGCCATTTCGTTCTTATAAAAGCACGGATGACCGCAATTGGCACATATGTCGTAGTCTTTTGGACGCTGCGTCGACTGGTTTTGGTCTGAAAAGGCTGCGATGCAGCGTTCGGCCCTTATTCCCAATCGAACATGGTTGAACCAGTGGTCACGTGCTCCTGCGTACGCCAGTCACCTGGTCACCGTGCCTGCAGGGTGCAACTTACTAGCCTGTTTGACCTTTTTTGGGTGCAGTCCTGTCACTCGAGTTGAACTCGAGTTGAACCTTGGTGTGAAAGTTGTCGCCTGTGGCGTGGTGACCAGGTGATTTGGGCACCCAGGAGCACGTGACCGCTTGTTCAACCACGTTCGATTGGAAAATAAGGTCCGAACGCTGCATCGCAGCCTTTTCGGACCAAAACCAGTCGACGCAGCGTCCAAAAGACTACAACATATGTGCCAATTGCGGTCATCCGTGCTTTTATAAGAACGAAATGGCGCTTTTAGTGACATTTTGCATACAAATTCCCATCTAGTAGGGCGCAGTCACCCAGTTTCGGTGGAAGTGCGCGAGTTCGATTGGGATTCAAGTAGGAAGGGGGCGTCTCAGCTTTCTCGGACCAAGACCATTCGACTCAGCACCCCGAAGACTACAACTGGTGAAATTTTGATTTTTGCCTTAACTTCCCCTTTAATTTACATTACAAGGGTGGTGCCCAGCACGTGCTCTCACACTGCTCTGCGGCAAGAAGCGCGTTTCTCTGAAAGAAAAGGTGACGTCAACAAAAAATTCCGCCGTGGGCGGGATATCTGCAGATTGTGCAGGAGAGATCCGAAGTTGCACACTCTTGTTTATGTACTCTTGGTTTTAGTGGTGTGCAGGGGTAGTCAGGTACCCGTGGTACCCGCGTGAGGACCTCGGGTAGACGGGTACAGAATAGTATCCGAAAACCCGAAGTCGCAGATGACATCCTGTACAGTGCATGTTCACAAATTCATGTAATACTCGGGATGTCTACCCAGTGTGTAAGGGAAGGGGTCCATTGTGGTGTTACCATGGAAACATTTACCCGATAGCAAGAGTACATGAAAACCAGAGTGTGCAGCTTGGGACCTTTTCTGCTATGGGTGTCTGTCACGGCGGAATTCCGTGATAACATCACATTTGGCGCAGATCTGAGGCGGGAAATGGCGTAGTGTGTACAACTAAGCTGCAGTTGTGCAGAAAGAGACCTGCTGGAATCCTGCTTGTACGCACTACATCACTAAAATGATGTAAGCACGGAATTCCGCCGTGACAGCAACCCATCCGAGCTGCACACTCTGGTTTTCATGTACTCTTGCCGAAAGGGTACCCGTGCTACCGGTGGAAAACTACCCGGACCGATACCCAAAGAAAATCTTACCCGACTCGACCCTAATTTTAATACGGTTAAACCTAGTCTCCGGCCACTTCACCTTCGCAGGCCATCACAGTTGGCATGTGCACACGTTTGAGTGATGAAGGAGCTCTGATAGGGTGATGGCATCTTCCGTTATTCACTTTAATCTTTGCTAGAATACTTCCTGCACTTGCATGGATGCGGCTTATGGGGTTTCTCGGCACTTGTGCCAGTGGTTGTGAGACGTATTCACTCACCCCCACTGTTAGGCGCTGCATCTGCCGCTAGGGTTTACTGGGTGTTAGCGGCCGTCGTCAGTTCCCTTTGGGAACGGACGCGATAATTCACTTCTTTTTACTCGCTGCACTGTATTTTGAACTATTCCTCCTTGCTCACTTCAGTGACAAGTGATAGTTCCAGTCCAAGCACTTTGTGGATTGTTTTATTGTTCTCCTTGCAAGGATCACGTGAGCTTCTGTTTGCTAAATCATCCATGCCCGTGTGTTTGTGTGCATGTTTGTGTGTTTGTGTGTGTTTTGTGTGTGTGTTTGCGTATGTGTGTGTCTGTGTGTGTGTGTGTGTGTCTGTGTGTGTCTGTATGTGTCTGTATGTCTGTACGAGCAGAGTGCAAGTTCACGATAGCTATCAATACGAGTCGACAACATACCGGGACATGAAGTATCATTTCTGCTCCATTGATACCTGGCTGCAAGGGGTGTGTAAAAGGTAAGGAGAACATGCACTCCCCCCCCCCCCCCCACACACACATACCCCCCCCCCCCCCCACACACATACCCCCCCCCCCCCACACACACATACCCCCCCCCCCATACCCCCACATACCCCCCCCCCCACACACACATACCCCCTCCCCACACATCCCCCCCCCCCACACATACCCCTCCTTTGTCATACCCGAGCCCATTTGATACTAGCCAGCATTCTGTGTGCGTGTCTGTGTCTGTGTGCATGTGTATGTGAATGTGTGTGTGTGTGTGTGTCTATGTGTGTCTGTGTGTGTATGTGTGTGTGTGTGTGTGCGCGTATGTGTTTGTATGTGTATGTGTGTATATGTGTGTATATGTGTGTATATGTGTGCATGCGTGTGTGTGTATGTGTATGCACTGCACAGCTTCTGTGAGACGCATCGCTGGAACAAGGACCTGGCGTTGTACAGCAAACACTCCGTCTTCTATGCCGCCGATGATGTGCAAGAAGACGAAACAGGTGAGGGGAAAACCTCAGTACCAGCATTGAGCGAAGCAGGATCAACAACAGCAACAGAACAATCAACAACACTAGCAGCAGTTCAAGCAGAAGAAGCAACACCATCAACAGCAGAAGCAGCCCCTGCAACCGCCACTCCAACAGCAACAGCGGAAAAGTCACCAGCCGCAGCTTGTCACGGCAGCACTGCCGGCAAAAAAGTGATGACCGGTGCAGCAAAAGGAACCACACGTAGACCTACGACGGTGGCTGCTAGAAGCAAAAGTTCCCCGGGAGTTGTCAAGCATCCAAGTGCAAAAATCTCCATTCGAGCACCTCCGAAAGCAAAGAATGGACCGGAGAGTTCTGCGACAAAGCAATGCGAGCAGAGAGGTGAGATCAGACCCCGGGTTCTATCCACTTGGATTGGATTGGATGGATTGGTTTATTTAACGTCGAATAACAAACAGGCAGTGTTGCCTTATTACATGAGATCGTCTAAAGACAAACAGGCACACAAATGTAAGGAAAAGATTAAAAAGAAAAAAAAGAAAATAGAAAAAAAAGAGTAGGATTTAAGACAGCAGCTAGCTAGCAGAGGAAAGATTGCATAATTATTTGATCAGTGAGCAACGTAAGTCGGTGAATTTTTCAGGTGGGGTAAGAGAGCGGTCCGGAATTGACCTGGTTTCTTCAGTGATCGTTTCACTTCTTGATTCATATCAACAGTAGCATTAATGAGGTTCTCAGTGGCCATACTCGAAATGTAGAGAAGTTACTTACAGTTCATTTCAAAACATACAGACGCATAGTATTTTTGAAATATTTCAAATTTGGCTGGAGCTTTTCGAGAATTTTTTTCGGAATATTGCTCAGGTCCTTCCTCCAATTACTCTCATAGATTTTTAAAGGGGAAGTATACCCTAAAATCAAACTTTCACCAGTTGTAGTCTTCTGGGTGCTGAGTCGAATGGTCTTGGTCCGAGGAAGCTGCGACGCTCCCTTCCTACTTGAATCCCAATCGAACTCGCGCACTTCCACCGAAACTGGGTGACTGCGCCCTACTAGATGGGGATTTGTATGCAAAATGTCACTAAAAACGCCATTTCGTTCTTATAAAAGCATGGATGACCGCGATTGGCCCATATGTTGTAGTCTTTTGGACGCTGAGTCGACTGGTTTTGGTCCGAAAAGGCTGCGATGCAGCGTTCCTCCTTTATTCCCAATCGAACATGGTTGAACAAGCGGTCACGTGCTCCTGGGTGCCCAAATCACCTGGTCACCGCGCCAGCAGGCGACAACTTTCACACCAAGGTTCAACTCGAGTGACAGGACTGCACCCAAAAAAGGTCAAACAGGCTAGTAAGTTGTACCCTGCAGGCACGGTGACCAGGTGACTGGTGTACGCAGGAGCACGTGACCGCTTGTTCAACCATGTTCGATTGGGAATAAAGGAGGAACGCTGCATTGCAGCCTTTTCGGACCAAAACCAGTCGACTCAGCGTCCAAAAGACTACAACATATGGGCCAATGGCGGTCATCCGTGCTTTTATAAGAACGAAATGGCGCTTTTAGTGACATTTTGCATAGAAATCCCCATCTAGTAGGGCGCAGTCACCCAGTTTCGGTGGAAGTGCGCGAGTTCGATTGGGATTCAAGTAGGAAGGGAGCGTCTCGGCTTCCTCGGACCAAGACCATTCGACTCAGCACCCCGAAGACTACAACTGGTGAAAATTTGATTTTAGGGTATACTTCCCCTTTAACCCTTTGTCCTTTCGCCCATACTTGAACCGTACACCTGTGTACGGTTCAACCCACGCATGTTCAAAGCGACCTGGAAGCTACGCGGATCACCCGATCCACATGAAAATTCACGTGCACACAGCCTATGCTATGTAGAGGCCGATGCACGGGTTGCTGGGGCTAGTTGCCATTTGAAAATTTTCAGGAAATCAAAGTCGAAGTTTGCTTGCGCCGTAATTTCCGACATGGCAGCACGCAGGTCGCTTGATGCAGATGAAGCGCTTGTTTGAGGATAGCTGGAGTGACCCGAGCGACAATCCTATGTCCTCTGATGACGAGGACGAACTGGACGAAGCCTTAGTTGAAGGGGTTGATTCTGATTTTGGTAACGATGCAGACTACGATGTTGTAGCCGTCGGCCCGTCGATCCAACTGTCGGACATGTCGACCACTCCGATTTGAGTGCAGGATCGGCAGAACAGCACTCGAGTGGTGAGGAGAGTGTACCACCGCCGTGTCTTACCCGTTGTGGAGCAGCAGTTCAATCCCAGAGAGGTCCAGATCTCCGTCACCTGCGCGCCGTCAAACTCATGGTCGACAGCCGCGCAGAGCGAGGAGAGTCGCCACACGGGGCCGACATGTCGAGCCTGTCGCCACTGTCGCTCCTCTGGCTAATGCTCTGTGTTTCTCCAACATGCCAGTGGTGCTACTCCAGGTCACACTTGTACAAATTGCACATTATTTATACATAGGAAAGAACTTGAACTTTGAATTTTGCCAATTTTTGCCAAAAAATCATTTTTGATACTCTTGATTAGCCACACCCACCTGAGGAATGCAACCCAAACGGCATTTTTAGTTCACAATTATCAAAAGCTTTCAGGAAAACATAAAGTGTACACACAAAATATCAGCTGCTTGGGAATGGCGAGTGGATTTGTTGAAGTAGGTACCCCTCACATACATTTTGGGCAAAAGGACAAAGGGTTAAGCGTTCGGATAGCACACACCATATTTCGAAATTGTGATGCACAAAGTGATCACAGATTTTATGTGGTATAGGTGCTGGCCTAACGTTTTTTTTGAAATCACGCGTCTATATTTTTGAAACGCACTGCAGAGAACAGGTGTCTGGGTTAGAGTCTACGGCTTCACACGTTTGGGATACAGGTTTCTACGTGTAGATGAGGCTCTCTACGTTGTAGCACATGCAAAGAAAATGCGTACAGTTCTGTTGGGTATCGTTCAATTCAGGAAGGAAACTGCCAAATTTGGGAAGGGAAACTCCCCAGTGTACATTCCACGTGATTTCTTTACATGAACGTAGAGCAAACAGAACAGGTTTTCTTTACGTTACGGGAACGCAAAGAGTGTTCCCGGGATTCTTCGCGTCGCGTTCCTGTAACGCAGAGCAGAACCTCGCTAGTGTAGTGTCCTCTGATGGATGTGGCAGGAAAACCAGTTCCAGAAACTCTCATTTATTACTTCAATGATGTGTGGCAATGGCTGTGGAGTCAAAAGTTTCCCTGGCTGTTTTGAAACTTTTGTCTCCGTGTCGCCTTATCATTCTAAACTTCGAAGGATGCGAACGAAATCGGGTTTCAGAGTCCATCGGTAATTGACCTTTTTCAAAATCCAATGGAGAAAGGCCGAGAGGAGCCGAAAGTTATTTTCTACGGGTTGGATTCCGGGTGTGTGCATGCTTTAGCCAATTCACCTTCAATGGGCAACCCCTCTACTCCTGATGTGTGTGTGTGCCACATGATGACAAGATCTTTCGGAAAATACGGAATGTAACTTAGTGCAGGAATGGGGCTTCAACTTCTGCCGGCGTTGTATATAGCAATGTACACAAGAGAGATCGGAAGCTCTGAGTTTCTGAGTTTATATAGCAATGTCAGTAGTACTTGTATTAGCAAGTTAGGAAAACTGTTTATTGTTTTGCTGTTTTGTCCAGATAGACTGTGTCCTTCTGTGTCCACGCGATGTGTTCTCATTGGTGTTTCTGTGTGTTTGTGTGCGTATGTACATGCATGCGTGTACGTACATGCGCGTGGTTCTCTGTTTGTATTGCAGCTCGCCAAACTGACCCCTCGGATCCAGCAGTACAAGAAGCTAGCAGCAAGACCGCCACACGACCAGACATGCTGAAGGCTGAGGACCAGGGCGGCATAGCACATCCAAACTCCGAGCCAGGTGGCAATGGTAGCAGCAAGGCAACATCAACCTCTGGCGATAGCTCTGCGACAGTTCAATCCAGTGCAGCCAGTGGAAGTAAGATTATCAAACTATTTTGAAGTGTCTTGCCACACCGCCTGTTTACCTCTGTTTCTTTCAATCCCTTCTCCTCTCTGTCCCTTTTCTCTCTCTACTTCTCCTTCTCTCCTCGCTGTCCCCCTTCCCCTCCAAATCCCGTACCGTCATCCTTACCCTCCCTCCCCCCCCCCCCCCCCCCACCTCGTGGCCTCTTCCCCTCCCTTCCTGCAACTCTCTGAATCCTTCCCTCTCCACTCCCCCCCCCTTCCTTCAACTCTTCGGACCCTTCGGACCCTACCTTCCTGCAACTCTCCGGCCCTCTCTTCCTGGAACTCTCCGAATCCTTCCGCCTCCCCTCCCTTCCCACCCTGCACCTCCCCCCCCCCCCCCCTTCGTCCACCTGTGTTATTTTAATCACTTAGAAATTATTAGCTCAGCTGGATCTGATGCTACTTTCATAATTGTTGTAAACTAACAAAATGTATTTGGTTCCCTTTACTAACCCCTCGCAAATACTAGCTTATGTAATGGATCAGTTGCTAACCGAAAGTCTCGTGAAAAAAGTTCTTGCGCTGGATCAGCGTCCCTGATCCCCGCTAAGCAGCTGTAGTAGCCTAGCATAGCACATTGCAGACTCACTGTACACAGCACACTGTGCATGCATGTACAACGTATACTATGTACGTACGTGCATTCTCTTCTTTGCGTGCATTCAGCTAAGCTTGGCTTTTCTGCGCCGCGTACACACACTTTCCTCTTAGCTCACTGCACAAGCATGCATGCATGCATATTCTTAGACATCAAACTAGCCTCACCGGCAGTCCTTTTCATAATCAATTCAGATTTCAATGCAAGCAAACAGTGCAAACAGAACCTCCTGGCATGCTGCTGTGTTGTCGTGTACAGTGAGTCTCTGTAGTTTTGGGATATTGCACTGTGCGGGTGATGTGAAAGACCTCCTCTCCTTAGAGAGACCGGTCAGTCCAGAACCCAAAGCTGAAACCATGTTGATGCATATGCAGTGAAACTGTGTTAAAAGACCACCTGGTTTGAGAGATTGATCAATGCAGAACCCAAAGCTGAAGCCATGTTGCTAGGTACAGAGGAACCTGTTTTGAGAGACCACCTGTTTTGAGAGACCGGTCAGTTCAGAACCCAAAGCTGAAACCATGTCGATGCATATGCAGTGGAACCTGTGTTTAAAGACCACCTGTGTTAAAAGACCACCTGTTTTGACAGACCAGCCAATGCAGAACCCAAAGCTGAAGCCATGTTGCTAGGTGTAGAGGAACCTGTTTTGAGAGACCGCCTGTATTGCTGGCCTATGCAGAACCCAAAGCTGAAACCATGTCGATGCATATGCAGTGGAACCTGTGTTTAAAGACCACCTGTGTTAAAAGACCACCTGTTTTGAGAGACCAGCCCATGCAGAACCCAAAGCTGAAGCCATGTTGCTAGGTGTAGAGGAACCTGTTTTGAGAGACCACCTGTTTTGCTGGCCTATGCAGAACCCAAAGCTGAAACCATGTTGAGGCATGCAGGTGAACCTGTCTTGAGAGATCAGTGATACTCTGTGTAGCAATGCATTGAGCTGTAACAAATGCATTGGCCTGCCGGAAACACAAGTCCAATACACTAGGAATACGACGAGATGCACAGTCCTGGCCAGCAAAACCCAACCTTGTGAATACAATAGCGCCGGGGGCTATGCGACCCTTGCATCACACACACACAACACTGCTGTTTTCATTAGGACGTTTTCTCTGCAAGCCAGAACTATACCTGCAATGTTACCACTCTCTCCCCGTCTTATCCCCGGCTACCCATTTGCGGGCTCGGGGAGGTTTCCATGTACATGTACGATGAGTGTTGCCGGTTTGCGTACAACCATTCAATTCCTTGTTTTCCACTCATTCTCCTACTTCATCCCCACCCATGGTGGTAGCCACCAAACTTTGTTTGAATGCAAAATTTACAGCAAGTATAGGAGGTTTGGGGATCCTTCCAGCCCTGCTGCAACCTGGCTGAGCGGAGACCACAGATACGCAGGGTACACAGCGAGATTTGCCTGCAACAGTAGAGAGGTTAAGATGCACGGTATTTCCGACGTGACGCGCAATTTCACGACAAATTTGGCGTACAACTCCGAATTTCGACGTGAGCTGCCGGTCACTCGCGTCGTTTTTTGACGCCCGAGCCCAATAACGCGAGCTGAACTTTCGCGTCACGTCATCAGAAATAACGTCCATCTTAACCACTCTAGTGACAATTTGTTGGGAAGTGTAATCCGGCAGCCTGAGAGTAGGGATCGGGTGCCTACAACTGTAGATCCAGTTATCGCATGCTAGTAGGCTGGAAAATGATGATGGAATGTTGCGACTTTGTGTAGATGCCGTGTGAGAAACACCAGCACAGTGTCTGCACCATGCACACATGTGCAGTCTCCAAGCATGGGTACACATAACACACAATATCACCTATCTGTACTTGAGGCCAGGGTGTAGTAAAATACCGGTATTTTACTACTCCCTGCTTGAGACTGTCTGCATTGCCATTGGTAACTTGGAGCATGAGCTTTGCCCGTGCAAAAGGAGTATTGTGCAAAAAGTGGACTCGGCTGAGACTTTCAGCTCGTGCTTGTCTTAGTTGCACTCACCTTCTCCTCCGATGTTATCGTATAAGTTAGAACCCTCCAAGTTGGAAGGCTGTTCGAGTGCGCATCCAAGACGTGCTAGAGCTGATAGCCAGCTAGTTGTAGAACGTCAGTACCGTCGGTCGGTGCCGTGCAATGTTATCGCAAGAGCTGATTGTCAAGTAGCTGGTGGTGTTAGTGGACAGTATAGCGTAACTTGTAGTTCCTTGGTCCTTTTTCCTTTCTATAAATGTGCGAAACATTGTCGCTGTTCTGTCCTTCTAGCGTTGTCCCCGTTGTTCTCTCACATTCTGCTGCATGTTTACAGTTCCAACCAGTACACCATGCCCTAGCTGTGGCTAGTAGCACTAGGGCTCTCATTGGTGTGACTTTCTCACAACTCTGGTAACCCCTGAAGCGGTACAAATGACATTGTTTCCTCACTCTATACGAAATGAAAAGGACCAATGAACTACAAGTTATGCTATACTGTCCACTAACCGTCACCAGTTACTAAACAATCAGCTCACGCGATAATATTACACGACACTGACCGACGGTACTGACATTCTACTGAAGAACAACTAACTGGCTAACATCTCTAGCACATCTTTTTAATCCGGCTTGGCTCTCCATCCAAGTCCATTTTCCTCACTCTCCTCCCCTACTACCATTGTACTGATTTTTGGAGAGTAATGGGTTGCAAAAGTCCCTCAGCATCAGATGTTCCAGTGCCTTCCATATTGCAGGCCGGAGATTTATGTCCACCTGAATCTCTTATCACCAGAGTGACATCACTGGATGTAAAATATGGATAAGAAGAGCTCGTGTTGTTGTAAGGAAATACCATTGGTGGTCTCTTGTTGTTTGTCCTAAGGAGGCTTGCCTGTGCAGTGTAAAAATTAGTGAGAACAGCCTAGGCTATGACTTGGAACGCGCAAAGAATCGTTACCCTTGGTACACGTAAACCAGTCGATTTTAGGAAATCGTTATAATATATGCACCTCGTTAGGATAATGGCTTTTACAGTAGGTCAGAGCCACCAACCAGAGGCCAAAAGCCGAAAATCCCATGACTATACTCTCAGAATTCTTCCCTTACTGTGACCTGTGATCCTTTGTAGCCGGCAACCCAGGCAAGGCCACTGCAGCAGGGAAAAAGAAGACGTCTTCCTCAACGGCGGGGAAGTCCAGCAAACCTCATGCACGCAAGAGCTCCGTGCCGAGTTGTGCCAAGCCGGCGTCATCGCAGTCCAAGAACGTCTACTGCATCAGTGGAGGCAACGGAGGATGGATGTAAGCTGCCGACTGTCTTGACATCTAGACCGTGTGCGCTATAATCACTGTGGGGTCATTTGTATACATTTTCTGAACGAAACGGGGTCCTGGGGTAGTTGTGCATAATTGTGGCTGCAAGCAACCAGATCTCTTGCAGATTGGTGCTCTATGAACTAGAAATATATGTACATGTACACCGGTCAGGACTCTTTAGGGGAAAACTCCAAGGAACTGGTGGAATTTGTTTGTCGTAACAGAAGCTCCCGGTCGTATTTTTTAGTACTGTATACACCATTGAATATATGCAGTGATTTGTTCAGTAGCATCATGTGTTCTTTTGTAAAGCAGCACATTTTAGCAAATTACAAAGTGTCAGGGAATATAGTCCCACCGGCCTGTGTGGATTCACAGGAAGCGCGAGTTTCAAAATGTGTATGGGTCACCATGGCCACTGTGTACGGTACGACGAGTCTAACCCAAAAGCGTATGGACGTGATCATTTGGGAACAAAATCGATGTTCCCGCCAGGTTTCACTGTGAAAAAGTGAAACTGCTCGGTCTGCTCCGGCCTCGAGGCCGGAGCAAGCAGAACATGTTCTGGCCGACCCAGAACAGGTGCAGTCCCAACCAAACGCGCTGTTCTGGTGAATCCTGTTCTAGTTCGTACCAACCAAACGCGCCCTTAATGTTAGTTGTTATTAGTCGATCAAGTGAAATATACTGTTTTAAAAGATTCAACAGTTGTCCTCGTGCCATGTAGTCGTTCGGTCCTGACACTTTAGAGAATCAGAAGGGTTCATAACAACATACATGCCAGGCCTCGACCAAATATGCTTGCGCATATTTCTGCATATTTTTGTGAGCCAGTTCATTATGGCATATTGAGCGACAAAGGGAATATTGGAATGAAGCCAGCATATAATTAAAATATTCTGAAGAAAACGAGGACAAAACATTCATATTATGGACAAAATGCGTTCAGAAATGCCTTTTACGGATGAATTTGGAATGGTTGAGGCGTTTGCTACATTTCCCCATGGATGAACACTATCGCTACGGTTGCTGGGGACACACCCCAGCCATACTTTTCCGCATGAGTTTTGATTTGCACCATAAGCATGATAGCCGTGAAGCCAGTGAATATTCCAAGGTTGTAATTTTACTGAAATGATATACACTTTCTGCTTGTGTCGAGCATATTTTGGCATATTTTGGCATATCTTTTTGCATATCTTGCTAAGCCTTTGGCATAATATGGACGTTTTCCCTGATATGCGACGAGCATAATTATGCTCTTTTTTTTAGCATATTTGGTCGAGGCCTAATACATGCACATACACAATCTGCGGACAGAACTGTTTCATCCTTTATACATGTACAGTACATGTACAAGTAGGTATAGAGGCTGATAGTGGGATATGAAAATCATTGTGTGAGTTGGGTGATGGGATGCAAAAATGGGTGCATGTAGGTATACATTGACTCAAAATGACATGTAACAGGGTGTATTCTAGGACGAATTTCCAACCGGTTACGGTCCAATGAAGAGTGGGGGGTCCGGGGGACCCCCCGCGGAAATTTTTTCAAAATACAACCCAAATATGGCACTCGACAGCAATTTAACAGATTTCTTGGTGCTGGAGTACAAACTCGTGACCCTAGTACCAGACCACGCGGCTTCGCTGGAAGTATCCGTCCAGAAAAAAGCGTTTGACCATTCACAGCTCCATTCACCCACAGAAAAGTACGGGCGGTTGAAACTGATTTGTAACTTTTCAACCGGTCGCCAACAATGTCAACCGGTTGGGGCGGTTCTAGAAAATTCCCTGAAGTCTGAAGAAAATGTTGAGCGATCGCTGTTGGGATGATTCCTCCTACACCAGATAGTGGCTAGAGCATCGCTGGCCTCAGGCGAGGGTCCCTGGTTCGAGTCCTGGTGGTGATGGTCGATTTCTCTTCATCCTCTTCCGGGTGCATCTTTCCCTTCAGACTAATGAAAACTTGCACTGATTTATAATAATTATAGTTCACAGCGCTTGCCTGTTGGGAGATTAAGCGTTGTACAGCAGTTCCTCTCGGGAGCGAATGTTTGTCAATACTCTCCTCAACGGGATTCTACTCTGTATATACATGGACTGTAAAAGCAGAAATTTTCGGTGGTGTTTTATTTTCGGTAACTTGAGTGCCGAAATTTTTACCGAATATAAAACGCACCGAAATGTTCGGTACTAGTACTAGTACATCTACCTGGAAAACGGGTTCACCGAAAATTCCCCTCCACCGAACCGCCGATTTTGGAGAACACCGAAGAAAATTACACCAACGAAAATTTCTGGTTTTACAGTACATGGTTCTAGTTGCATGTTGGGTAAATTCCTATTTGCTGTGCAGAGTTGACGAAATACTGAGCGCGAGGGGATGGCGTAAGTCTGATGACCCAAACATACTGCACTACAGACTGAAGTGGACAGAACTGAAAGTTAACATCAACTTTGAAGCGTTCAGAGCAGGTAAGGTCTCACTTTTGATTACTATCAAGCCATTCACGTTGAACTGTCTCAGCCGGTGGAATGTGCATGTGCATGTGTGTGCATGAGCGTGTACACGCACGTGTGAGTGTGTGTGCGTGGTCATGTTTCTTTATGCGTGTTGTCTACACCCACGAACTCCAAAATGGAGAGCCCACGGTGGGGTCATATTTTCAAGACCACCGGCAGGTTGAGAGTGAGTGAGTGAGAGAGAGAGTGTGTGTGTGTCTCTCTCTCCTGTGGGAGAACTGGAGCTGTGTCACACTCCCTCCCTCCCTCCCTCCCTCCCTCTCTCTCTCTCCCTCCCTCCCTCCCTCCCTCCCTCCCTCCCTCCCTCCCTCCCTCCCTCCCTCCCCTCCCTCCCTCCCTCCCTCCCTCCCTCCCTCCCTCCCCCCCTCCCCCTCCCCTCCCCCTCCCCCTCCCCTCCCCCTCCCCCTCCCCCTCCCCCTCCCCCTCCCCCTCCCCCTCCCCCCCCCTCCCCCTCCCCTCCCCCTCCCCTCCCCCTCCCCCTCCCTCCCTCCCTCCCTCCCTCCTATCTCTCTCTCTCTCTCTCTCTCTCTCTCTCTCTCTCTCTCTCTCTTTCTCTCTCTCTCTCTCTCTCTCTCTCTCTCTCTCTCTCTCTTTCTCTCTCTCTCTCTCTCTCTCTCTCTCTCTCTCTCTCTCTCTCTCTCTCTCTCTCTCTCTCTCTCTCTTTCTCCCTGTCTCTCTTTCTCCCACTCCTCTTCCGTTGAGACTCATGCGACCAAGTTTCTGGCAGTGAGGAATTATAAGTTTGTCTGTGTGTGTGTGTGTGTGTGTGTGTGTGTGTGTGTGTGTGTGTGTATGTGTGTGTATATGGGTGTGTGTTTGTTTGTTTGTCTGTACCGATGCGCTCCGGCGTATATCCATGCCCAGGTGAGCAGCTGGTCAATCACATTCCACAGATCGAGTTGCTCACCACCAAGGTGAACCTGGCGATGACTCTTCGCGAGTACGACCGCTCTTGTCAAATGTCTTACCAACGCGGCCTCAGGTATGGCAGAGTCACTCTAGCAGCATACCCATAGGATTGTGTTGCCTGCAGAAAACTTCCTAGGCACACTTGACTTTGTGAGCTAATAAAATGAAAGCATTCCTGAGCCCATTTGGAAAGGTTTCACCCGAATCCCCATAGTCGCAGGGGCTCTATGGAACTGCTAAAAGCTGTGGTAGGCAACAGTTGCATATTGTGCTGTTGCGTTCAGTGAAATCCGACCCAAAGTGCAAGCTGGCACCCTGTACCAGTTCTGATTACATCATTGTGTTCGTACATGTGTGCGTCCAGCCACATTCGTGCCACTTCCACAGCATCAAGGGCATGCTAGTTGAGGGCGTCAAATATGTCCTCCGGGTCTGATTTCACCAAGCACAACTGTACATTGATATGGAACATGCATGCTGCTGAAGGCCTTGCTCCACAGTGAATGCTTCAAACCTTGTTCAGAAGTCTCCTGCTGATCCCTGTTCTAAATTCTGTCGTTTCACTATTCATTCGGTGCTTTCATTCATGTTGCAATGATGCATATACAGTATATAAAGCCGACCACCCTCGGCCAATCAGAGTTCAGCAAGTGTTTTCTTCTTGGCTTGCTGATGTTTTTTTTTAACTCTTGTTGTTTCTGCATGAGGGAGGAGAACCAAGCCGGGAAATTCTACCAGAGAAGAATATCTAGAATAGGCCTGATGTGATCATGCAACAATCTCTGCACCCTGTTGTTGGTGTTGTTCTGATATCGGATTGCAGCAGAAAGGCGCCGATGTCTGTGGGCAGCTTTCTTCCCATGACCTTCAACATGGAACGGAAAGCCGACCGCGAGGAGTTTAAAATGACCTATGAAGGTTAGGCACTGGCTGAGGCCACCAATATAATTTTAAAACCGAGGCCAGCAATATACTGTAAAACATGTACTTTTCGGTGTAACTTTAATTTCGGTGATTTCGGTAGAGAAACCAGGCACCTAAATTTAAATTACACCTAAAGGCACTAGCGTATGCACTGTATGTGAAGGGAACGCTGGTCACCTAATTCTAAATTACACCTGAAACCTGGCAGGTTCCTGGCACCGAAATTTTAATGCACCTAAAATTAAATGTTTAACAGTAATACCTATTAAAGGTGCTGGCAACTGAAACCCGATCCCTGGAGCGGTGCACTCACACTGCAAAGACTCGGCACGGGATTGTAACACTACGACGTGGAGACCACTAGAATCGGTGCTGCACTCGGGCACGGAAATCAGGTGTCGGATTTCATTTGCCAGCACTGTACTAAGGCCATGTGTCAACAAGGTGTGTGGCTCAGGTCAGGTAGCCCAGCCTTGCAACAATGTTCTTGGGGCCGATTCTTTGCTGCATCCTAAAGAATGTCTGGTTGCTGGGATACTAGTACTAGTAGCATGATGCACATGGTAGTCATGGCCCAAATTTGCTCAACCCACATCGATATTTTGCAGCACAATTTTGCCACAAAATGTTCGATATTCTGCTTGGGATTTCCTCTTTCCGTCGGTATTTTGCTTTGATTTTGCTTGAGAAAAATGAGTTTCAAGGAAAACTCGATGATAATTTTCGCTGATGACGAGGGAATTTTTGATTGAGCTCCTGCTGCTGCTCAACTTTCTACAAAAATGTGGCCATGAGTCTGTTTCGTCCAACTTTTGTGCTTGTTTTCAGCCTTGGTGACTGATTGCATTGAGAAAGTCCCTGAGAAGCCTTGGGTTTTCTGAAAAGCCTACCAAAACTCGATATTTTGCTCAAAACTTGCTGGCAACTTGCGCATCCGATATTTTGCTCGAAGAATTGCTAGCAAATTTGGGCTATGACTAGCACATGGTTCGTGTCTGCACACAGAGGTTGCATCTGCATACAGGGTAGTGTCCCCACACAGAGGTTGCATCTGCAATACAGGGTAGTGTCCCCTTACAGGGTCGTTTCTGCAGTATAAGTATGGGTTGTGTCTGCATATAGGGTTTGTGACTGCACATAGGGTTTATGACTGCATATAGAGCTTGTGTCTGCATACAGGGGTGTTGGTTGTGTATGCGGTTTTGCCAGTATAATAACGGGGTTGTGACTGTGCAAAGGGATTGGGACTGCATATAGGGATTTCGACTGCATATAGGGATTGTGACTTCATATAGGGATTGTGACTACATACCAGGGATTATGACAGCAGATAGGGGTAGTGACTGCCTGTGGGTATTGTGACTGCGTGTTGGATTTGACAGAATTTATGGATTGTGACTGCATATAGGGATTATGACTACATTTAGGGATTATGACTACGTAGAGAGGATTTGACTGCATATCGGGATTGTGACTCGGGATTGTGACTGTACTATTGAGATTGTCCTGGTGGTGACAGTCCTGGTGGTGACAGTCAATCGGGATTGTGACTCGGGATTGTGACTGTATATAGAGGTTGTCCTGGTGGTGACAGTCAATTTTTTCTTCAGACTTTTCCCATTTGTGTCTTTCTCTCAAACTAGTCAAGATATAGAGAATAGAGATTGTGACTGCATAATAGGGATTGTGACCGCATGTAGTGATTGTGACCACATGTAGTGATTGGGACTGCATTATAGGGATTGCGAGTGCATAATAGGGATTGTGACTGCATATAGGGATTGTGACTGCATATAAGGATTGTGACTGCATACAGGGATTGTGACTGCATAAAGGGATTGTGACTGCATATTAGGGTTGTGACTGCATATTAGGGTTGTGACTTCATATAGGGATTGTGACTGCATAATATTTTGGATTGTGACTGCTTATAAGGATTGTAGCTGCTTATAGGGATTGTGGCTTCTTATAGGGATTGTGGCTGTTTATAGGGATTGTGGCTGTTTATAGGGATTGTGACTGCTTATAGGGATTGTGACTGCTTATAGGGATTGTGACTGCTCTAGGGATTGTGACTACTTACTGGGTTGTATCCGCACATGGACACAGTCACAGGGCTTTTAAAAGTCTGCATATACCTGTACATGTAACGGTTTGAATGTCAAAATTACGACATTGTTCACATCTTCCTGGAACCCTCGCCCAATCTATGCCACCTCTAACCATCTCAAACAAGAAATGACCTGAAGGTTGATACAACCCATGAGCAGATGTGAACCCCCTCATCCTCCCCCTCCCCCTCCCCCCCCCCCCCCCCCACACGTTTCCATTAATTCTTAGTTTACTTCTGCCATTGTTCTGTGTTTTTTTTTGTGCTGCTCTTGCTGCTGCTGCTGCTGCTGCCACTGATGCTGCTGCTCTTGCTGCTGCTGCCGCTGTTGTTGCTGCTGCTGTTGCTGCTGCCGCTGTTGTTGCGGCTGCTTCTGTTGCTGCTGCTGGCGCTGTTTATTCTTCTGTTGCTGCTAACGCTGTTCATACAAATTCTCGTTTTCACTTGTTCAGATGGAGACATCTGGATCTGCAAGCCGTCTGCCATGAACCAGGTACAACTCCTAGATGATATTGCTGAGACTGCAGCTGTTTCTCAGTACTACTGCCACCCCCTCCACCATGCCCATTGCAACCTCATCACCGTGCTATTTCTGCCGTGGTTGGCTATCACCCTTCATTTCACATTCATTTGTCATTGGCACTCGTTTGACGAGCCAGGAAATGTTGTTCCAGACACCATTAACTTACGTTTAAAGCATGACCATTTTGTCGCGTGTTATTCTGGATTAGGTTGGTGCAGGGCTGCGAGGCCGTCACAGTGGGGCGGCTGGCTCAGCTGCCTTACTTTTGTGGCCGTTTTTTTGGTGCACACTGCAACAAAGTGCGATGATCGCATGTGCAAACATGGCGAATACTGAAGAATCCTAGTCCCCGACCGTAGCGTCTTCTTGGTTTGTTGCAGAATCAAAAAGTCTTTCATGCATTGTAGTTACACTACAATGGCACCAAATGCCCGGAAATGCTTGCAATTGGCTTCAATTTTTGAAAAAAATTCCCCGGACCCCCTTCCATGGCCACCCACCCCCAAAGTCGGTTCGACGGACCTGGACTGTCACGCACTGTATGCACAGTCTACCCCTCCCCATCATTGCCTCCAGTCCTTTTACTGGTTGGTCAGCGAACACCCCCTCCCCCTCACTTCCTTCCCTATGCTGGTTTGAAAGTCAACCCTGCCCCCCTTCCCCATCCATCTCTCACCCACTCACCCGCTGTCTCTCTGTCTCTCTCTCTCTCTGTCTCTCTCTCTGTCTCTGTGTCTATCTCTGCCTCTCTCTTTCTCCCTCTCTTTTCTACTCAGGGCAAGGGAATAGAGCTGATCCGCAGCATGGCCGAATTCTGCCAGAAATTCTCAGAACCGATGAGCAGCAATGCGGCAGGGGGAGATCCGTTTGCCTCCACAGCTCTGCCGTCACACGGTACTGCTGTCAGTGGTGGTGGGGGTGATGCCGAGAGCGCCGCAATCCGCCACGCCCTGGCCAATCCAACGCGTAGCGCCATGGCCTCGTCTCTGCCGAAGAAGAAGGCCGCTCTGCCGCACAAGCGTCTCCATCAGTACACCTACGTGATGCAGAGGTATGTGTTGAACCTGTAAACTGGTCCAAATCTCCATTGTTGTCTCTGCACACCCGTGACTAGAGGATTGATGTCTATGTTTTGCATGAGTTTGCATTCATGCCTGTACACGTGTTCGTGACATGTATGCAATCCTGTAGGGCCCGGCCCTGACTATGCTGACCTTGCCTATCCAGCAGCTCCATCACGCGGAGTGTGCACTGTGTACAGATGATTGCTATGCACTTGATCCGTGTACTGTAATTTCACAAATTTTCGGTGTACTTTTATTTTTTTATTTCAAAACACCGAACAAACACTAACACACATAATCCAATAGGGAACTGCTTCTCTGTACCGAAAATTTCTGTTCACCTAACCTGGCCTTTTGCCCTCATACCGAAAATATTGAGCACCGAAAATTTCTGAAATTAGAGTATACTGCTATTGAATCTACATGAACTGTGCAGTCATACTCTCTGTGTATACTGCTGTTGAATCTACATGAACTGTGCAGTCATACTCTCTGTCTATACTGCTGTTGAATCTACATGAACTGTGCAGTCATACTCTCTGTGTATACTGCTGTTGAATCTACATGAACTGTGCAGTCATACTCTCTGTGTATACTGCTGTTGAATCTACATGAACTGTGCAGTCATACTCTCTGTGTATACTGCTGTTGAATCTACATGAACTGTGCAGTCATACTCTCTGTGTATACTGCTGTTGAATCTACATGAACTGTGCAGTCATACTCTCTGTGTATACTGCTGTTGAATCTACATGAACTGTGCAGTCATACTCTCTGTGTATACTGCTGTTGAATCTACATGAACTGTGCAGTCATACTCTCTGTGTATACTGCTGTTGAATCTACATGAACTGTGCAGTCATACTCTGCTCAGTGCTGTACATGCAGAAACTTTAGCTGGTCAATAATTTCGTCCAATTCCAAAGAAAGAGAGAGAGTTCGCCCAGTTGAAAATTTCGTCCATGGTCCACAAGAGTGTATTGAAGAGATGTGTGTGCATGTATGCGTGTGTGTGTGTGTGTGTGTGTGTGTGTGTGTGTGTGTGTGTGTGTGTGTGCGTGTGTGTGTGTGTGCGTGTGCGTGTGTGTGCGTGTGCGTGTGTATGCATATGTGCGTATGCACATGTGCGTATGCACGTGTGTGTGTATATATGTGTGTGTGTGTGCATGTATGCACGTGTGTGAATATGTGTATGTTAGGTACATAACACGCCCACTGCTGGTGGAGAATTGCAAGTTTGATGTGCGCTGCTACATGCTGATAGCCCACACTGCGCCGTACATTGTCCTCTTTCACCATGGTTACGTACGCCGCTGCACAGTAGCATACAGCGAGGACACACTGGACCGTAGTGCACATCTCACTAATCAGGTTAGTCACCAATATACTGTGGTAGGTGCATATTCCTTTCTTCTCTGCTCTTTTTGCTTGTTCTTTTGTTTGTCACAGCTGACATCTGTGTGTGATCAGCCTTACTAGGCCTAGGGCTTTGCTGCAAGGGTTGGGGGGGGGGGAGGTGGGGGGGGGGGGGGGGGCTGGAAGGTGGGGTAGGGGGGGGGGAGGGGTTGGAAGGTGGGGTAGGGGAGGATTGCTAAGAGGTCCCATGCTCATGTACAGTCACCACTAGGTTCACTGGGGGGGGGGGGGGTGAGAGGTGTCAGTGCTCCTGTACATTGCCAACCCATTGCCAGTGTGGTCATGCTTGGGCGGCATGCACATAGCATGTGTCCACTGTAGGGCGTGTTCCTCAACTCTGATCAAGGCTAAATTATGGTCACGTGACATACGTGGGCAAGCAGCGTTTTGTAGAGGTTAAACGTGTATGCCGATTCCTCGAGTGTTCGCTATCAAAACAGTACTCGAACGTAGTTTCGCATGTGTTTGCAGCTTCAAACCTATAGCTTCACTGTATGCTAGTAGCAGGATGTGTCCCTCTTCCACTGCCTGTTCATGCACTGGCTGCATAGCTCACGCTCTGTGCGACTCAGGGGAGCTGAATACAGGGACAGCATGTGCATGTACATGTACATACTTAAAGTACAAGTAAAAAGTACAAGTTAGGCCATGGTAAAAAATAAAGTTGATTCTCAGGTCATAAGCCTGTGAAAATCGGTGTGAGCGAGCGATTTTTTATTATTTTTATTTCCCACAATTTTTTTCCAAAGATAGGGTCACACATATGTACATGGTCACATGTTCATTATATTCAGGCCAGGGAGTAGAAAAATACCGGTATTTTACTACTCCCTGATTCATGCCTTTCGCATTGACCGTTTTCATGCGCGCATATGCATGCATAGAAATAAAAAAATTCGTCGGTGCACCGCCAAAAATCGGTACGCGCGTACTTGAGAATCAAATATAATTTTTACCATGGCCTTAGCTCAAGTGGAAGTGCGGTGTGCAGAACTGACACGAGTCTATACAACTCATCGTAACATTACAGAAGGGAACACTATGGATCGCTCGAGTACTCGCTTGGTCAATTCATTTCACCCCTAGTTCCTGCATTATAATGTTGGTAGGCGTGGGTTCGAATCCCACTTCTGACACCATGTGTCATGAACTGACATAAGGAAGTGCTCTATTTTACAGACAGATGAGTGTAGATATAGTGAAGAGTCAGGGAGGCCATGCCCAGCAGAGCATGGTATCGTGCGTAGCACGGGGGTAGTGCGAGGTCACGCACCGTCTATACATGGCGACTGACAGGGGAAGGACTATGCCGTAAATGGGTGAAAGGATAACATGATGCGGGATAGGACATGATTATAACATCGCAGGATCAGATTGCAATACAATCATCGTATTGCCATCTGATAATGCCTGTCTTTTCTCCGAAAAAGAAATCAAGATTTTGCGCTTTTGGAGAGGTATTACGCTCGGGCAAGGTTCTATGCTACCAGTACATAGCGAATGCAGACTTCCCCAAGAAAGGAGAAGAAAAAATGAAAAAAATGAGGTTCTACCGAGATTTGAACTCGGATCGCTGGATTCAGAGTCCAGAGTGCTAACCATTACACCATAGAACCGTACACATTGATGCAAATGTAACCACAGATCATCTGATTTCAGTGGAAAAGGGAAGTGGGAAGGTCAGCGAGATGAAGTCCCAGAGTATGCAAACGTGCATGGGTTATGAGTCACATGACCAGGCACGTTGCTCATGTGTAGTCAGCGTAGTCCAGTCACCACGCCAACAAATGGCCGTCATACGTACTACATAGTCAGAATACCGTACTGGCAATATATTATGTTGCCGCGTAACGCGTAACGCAGGGGGTGCGGCGTAACGCGCGACCAGGCTAGTGCGACAAATTTCCGTTGCGTTCGTAACGCGCGTCCGGTGGGGTGCGGCGATCTTTTCATTGCAGTTTGCAAAAAATGATGCGGCAATAGCAAAAAAATGATGCGGCAATAGCAAAAAAGTGATGCGGCAATAGCAAAAAAAGGACTGCGGCAATATAGAAACCTGTGTAACGGCTCCTGTGCGACTTTGCATGTAACGCCCTGCGTGCGGTAAACATGTGCCAATGTAACGCTTCATGGCCTCACTGCGACCATATATATTGCCAGTACGGTAGTCAAAATAGGGTAAATTGACGCGGGGGGGGGGGGTAGGAGAGGAGGGGGTGACAAGGGAGGGGGAGGTTGACAAGGGAGGGGGAGGTTGACAAGGGAGGGCGAGGTTGACAAGGGAGGGGGAGGTTGACAAGGGAGGGCGAGGTTGACAAGGGAGGGGGGGGGAGGTTAATTGACTCGCATGATCAGATTTCACAAAGCAGCACTGTGTTTGAAGTACTCTTGATGTCGGTGTGCTTACATCCAATGCTCCTTGTATGTGTGTGTGTGTGTGTGTGTGTGTGTGTGTGTGTGTGTGTGTGTGTCCGTGTGCGTGTCCGTGTGCGTGTCCATTTGTGTGTGTGTGTGTGCATGTGTGTGTGTGTGTGTGTGTTTGTTTGTGTGTGCTTATGTCTACCGTATTATCTCTAATATAAGCACGGTCCTTTATTTTTTCAATGTACCTCCGCCCCGTGCTATTAATGGAGACGTTCCTTTATTGGAGACTGTTCCATTATTATTTCAACCTCATTTCAGAGGCATGTTGCCATGCCAAATTCATGTCAGACACACACATTTCAGGGTTTTTTTTGCCGGTATAGAAGATAATGAATTTACACAGTGTGCTTATAATGGAGACTGAGCACTTTATTTTTTGAATGCCGCCCCAAGGTGTTCTATTATTGGAGACGTGCTATTATTGGAGACTGTGCTTATATTAGAGATAATACGGTATGTGTGTGTGTGCGTGCTTGTGTGCGTCTATGTATGTGTGCCTGCATACAGGCAGTACAACGCCAGCAAGCAGGCTACGAACACGTTAAAGAGGACACCGTGTGGTCTATGGAGCACTTACAGCAATGGCTCAACACAAACTGGAAACACCCAAATGACGGCACGCCTATTCCTCCGGACTTTGTCTCCAAAGCACTCACTGTAAGTTCCTGTACAGGGGCAATGTCGGAAGGTATTTTAGTGTGGTACGGTCAGTCATCTGAACTACAGTTTACTCGTGGGGGAGGGATGGCGTAGCCGACAATTTTGGAAATTTATAGTCCAGATCAGTGTATTTTATTGATGCACAGGGTACTGTAAAGCGACAAACTTTCGCGGCGCGCAAATTTAGCGTTTTCATAAATTGAGCTGGTTCACGATGAGAAACTTTTGCGATTCTATCTCCTCAGCCGGATCTTGTACTGTCTGCAATCAATGTACAGAGAGGTTTGCGGCGATTTATATTCGCGAATATGTGATGGTCGCGAAAATAGCAAAATTTAATCTCTAGCGAAAGTTTCTCACTTTACAGTACTTGGGGCAAAAAGTGGTACGGTCAATACCGTAGTGACCGTACCGTGTCCGACGCCCCTGCAGTACTTGCAGCAGAGAAACCAGCCTGATACACACTTTCAGGGGCGTCGGAAGGTATTCTTCATCGGTACGCCCATGAAGAGGCAGCGGGGGGTCCGGGGGCCTCCGAGTCAATTTTATTTTGAAAACTGGTCCGAAATAGCCCATGTTCGACTGCTTCAAATATCACAAGATGAAATTATTGGCGCGACTTTGGCCGCACCTGCCGCACCGGTTCCGACCGCGGCCCCTGCCTTTCCATTGCGTATAGAAGCTAATGTCAGTGATGGGCTTCTATTCAAATCATGCTTGTACTCGACTGAACCGGGTATTTCTACATATATCAGCACTTAAACCAGGCTTTTGTGCCGACAGTGCATCTTGAAAACCAGGCTTGTTTTCAAAACAGGCTTCTATGCGAGATGGGCTTTTAATACAAGACACTACGCTGCCTCAATTATCCTGACTAGAAAGTCATGGTGTATTGGTCATCCATTGAAAGAGTTTAAGCGAATTGTTACATGTGTAACTGTGAACATTTGTAGTGCGATCCCTAGTCCGAATAGTCTGATTTTCTCCTATCATCGCGCTATATTCGAGTTCTACACCTACCTGGCAATCAGCTCAAGCACATCTTGGATGCGCACTCCAACAGCCTTCCAACTTGGGAGGTTCTGAGTTCATCCAAGATGTGCTAGAGCTGATTGCCAGTTAGCTGTAGAACGTCAGTACCATTGGTCAGTGTCGTGCAATGTTATTGCATGAGCTGTTTGTAAAGTACCTGGTGGTGTTAGTGAGTATTCGAGGATTCTAGTAGTCTTCACCTCCTGCAAATCGCGTGTGTGCGTGCGTGTGTGTGCGCACATGCGTATGTGCATGCGTGTGTGTCTGTCTGTCTGTGTTTGTGTGTGTTGCTGTGTGTGGTTGGTGTGCTGCTCATTGTTTCCCTATTTGGCTATACAGAAGCGTATGCAGCAGATAATGATGTTCTGCTTCAACAGTGTGAAGTCGAAATTGCCTACGAACAGTGGTGAATTCGAACTGCTTGGCTTCGACTTTCTCATCGACGATCTTTTGAAGGTAGGTGTACCTGAGACGGAATGAGTGTGTCACCGTGTGTGTGTGTGTGTGTATTTATGTGTGCGTGTGTGTGTGTGGGTCATTGCGCGAAATCGCGCATCTATGAGCGACATCCACATAAACTGCTGGGACCATGGTTGTGTACTCGAATCTCATTCTGAGCACCCTTTTTTCTTCCTTTTTTCAGCCGTTTTTTTTGCAAAAAGTCCTCGAGCTCGATTTTTTTGATCGATCGTTCTTCAAGGAAAGACGAGTGGACAATCGATCAGCAGGGCCGAGGACGAATGCGTCTGGTTGGAGTTCTTGCGTGGCACAGGATGACCAGACACACATATAGATACATTGCGACGATCTAATCTGCACAGTGTTTCCTAATACCGCACGCACAACGGTAAGTACAATTCATGTGATTTCAAATTGTTTGTGATCTACAACGTCGCGAGCAGGACGGAAATACAGCAACAGCACGACAACCGTTATACCAGGCAGTAACCAACAGTCACCTCCGTCACATTCTCCAGATCAGAAGGCAAGTGAGGCAGTGAACATGAAGAAATAAAGTATGAAAGAATGAAAAGTGAATAATTCAAAAATCTCAGAAACGTTGAACGTAAAAAACACTGAGAACAAGAAAAGTGACTTACTTCGATGGCAAAAGACAAAGCGAATGTTCCTCGTATGGACCTGGCGCTTGCGGAATCAGCCACACTGTGGAACCATGTGTTTGATTCCACAAGGGATGGCTACCTGCTCCTCACCAACCAGCCTCCACGACGGTGGTAAAGTCGCCAAAAATACGAAAGTTGAACATTTTGTGCATGCATGCAATAGAAAATTTGTGCTGAGTATGTCGAGTGGCCATTCGCACAGGACAAAGCCGTTGCGCAAGCTGTGACCCTGAAATTTCGTCCATTGGTAGCGAGGGTAACCCTGAGCTGGAAAGTGTAAGGGATGGCATGCTACACTCCCCCGCATACGCTTGACAGCACGATTTGAGGCGTGGAGTAGTAATATACCAGTATCTTACTACCCCCTGATACCTGATGCATGGACGTCGTCATCTTCATCCCGCAGATCGAAAATGTACAGGTGTCGCGTGATTTCGCGCAATGATACATACATGTGCGTTAGTGTGTGTATGTGCATATCAATGAGTGGGTGAGTAGTGTGATCTGACCAAAGAACGACAGGTACCTGGTCCAACTGAGCCTCACGGAGGAAACCATAAAATTATTTCAATATTGTGCTATTTTCAATGTGTCCTTAGTCCATTCTGAAGGAAAATATGAAACATTTCCGTAATTTTCCTACACAGCCAATGCGAATTACTGTCTTGGCCAGAGAATTCCACTTCATGAGCAAATTTAAATAGCGCCGGGTGCTGCATCACCAACAGCATTCTGTGTGTGTCTAGTGCGCCGTTACTTTGTTTGTTCATAGCCGGTCAAATGTCTCTGGCCAGATCTGTACTTGATGATAATGTCAGGTCTTCGAGGCATCTCCTCCATTTCTTCAATGCAGTACTTGCATCTGTGCAATCTACACCAGTCCAGATGAACACGAGGAAAATTTCCTCCATTTGTCGTCTAGAAAAAAAGAAGATGTGTGGTATCAAGAGTCCATAACCCCCCAGAGTGTGCAACTCGTGATCCTTCTCAGCACAAATCAGTGCCGCAACGAAATCCAAACTTCATACGTCATGTAGTGAGTAGCTATGACGAAATGGGAAGTTTGGCCCGGACCTACTTCGCCCGTTTGCCCAATTTGGGGTCTTTCTTTACGAATCCACGGTCAGGTATTGTACGTAACACGCCTGGAAAGGCTCAAGTACACAAAGAATTATTTTAGAGTTGTCGAACAGTTTTCTCTTTTGAGTGTCTCTCCGATAAGAGAAGAACAATGGCCACTGTTGAACCTAAAGCAAAGCGCTCCCCATTGTCGCCGGAGTGCAGTGTCTCTGTGGACGATATTCGTCAGTTTTTGTTCGATCTGGGCTCCTCATTTCCTTCTCTCGATTGTCGAGTGTTGGAAATTGTTAATTCTTCCAGCACCTGGATAGAGATTTATTGCTCGAAGTCTGTGCTTCTCACATGCAATGGAACACCCGTCAATTTGAACCGTCTGGTTGTGAACCCAGCAGGAACATTCACTGCAGGTTGAAGCACATCTACTTCGAAATCGATCGGGTCTTCATGCCGTGTGCCAAGAGCTATTTCCATCAAATCTTGTAAATCTACATCCATGCCTATTCTTGCTATCCCGGAGTCACGAACTCTCCCAATACAAGCTTTTCAGACAACGAGCAGAGAAACTCTCTTCAAATAAAAAAATTCTGTGACTGTGAAATCAAAGCCGTTCTGCTGACACTGTGTACTTTTTATTATACTGCATAGCCCGTGCGCGTGCAGCAAACGTTTTACGTGACACTTCCGTGGCTTGCTTCAAAGCAACCTTCAACTACTTGGAACCCCCGCCGGATGTACCAGATATGCACATGGGGATATGGCCCCATCCGCCCTTGCTTGCCCGGGGACCGGATGACGCAATGTTTGGATTTCGTTGCGCCAGACCCCAACCTGGAGTTGCACACTCTGGGGGGTTATGGACTCTTGGTGGTATCCATCCGAGCATTGACAAGGAAAGACATACACTGGAAAGTGTAAAAACAATGAGAGCACGACGAAGATGGGATTCGAACCCACGCGGGCAGAGCCCAATGGATTAGCAGTCCATCGCCTTAACCACTCGGCCACCTCGTCATCTCCATGTAAGGAATGGAAATAATTGTAGATGATACCGACCCTGTAGCCGAATTTCGGAGCTGACATGTGATTTCGTGAGACGTATAACAAAGTTGTAGGTACTTCTTACGTAAATATAATATTTAGGTATAAGGCCACCTAGAATTAATTCGTTGTTTCGGGTCACTTCACTCATCGGTACCAGGGTCGGTCGGTCGGGTTTATTTATTATTTATTTTATTTTTTATTTTGGTTACGTCCATGTGCATACATGTACAATCATCTGCATCGAATAGCTTTTGTCCATCTAGCCAGTCGATCAAATCTGACTGTAGTGTAGACAATCTAGCGCAGTCATTGTCCCATCAGATCCAGGTCCCCTCCATGACCAGATCTTGGCCTCGCTGGCAAACGAGTCTGACGAGCAACTCTCACCTTGAAAACTTCTGTAAATAGCGACAAGGTCACTGAGCTGATGCTGTTTCAGGACCGATTGCGTATCGGAGATAGAAGACAATGTCGTCACCAAGCGCTGCATCCTGTCATTTGGCTAGCCATGGCTGCTTCTGAGGTAGATATCTGGACTGCTATTATTAGGGTTGCGTGTGTACATAGTCTAGTCCGTACATTTGCATGCACCATATAAAAAAAATTTTTGCGGTCGGGTGAAAAAGACGGTCGGTCGGGTGACCCGAAACAACGAATTAATTCTGGATGGCCTAATTAATTGTTTTTTTTTGGGGGTATTTGACCACTAATTGTTACGGTCCTGTCTTGTATGTGTGTGTGTGTGTTTGTGCGTGCATATGTGCGTGTGTGTGTGTGTCCGTGCGTGCGTGTGTGTGTAGGTGTGGCTACTTGAAGTAAACACTAACCCAGCTCTACATACTAACTGTGATGTGCTGAAAGATCTCATACCACCACTCGTCGAAAACACTCTCGGTAAGGCAATGCCATGCAATAGGCGCTACTGTATTTCCCCGATTGTAAGTCTCATCCCATTATAAATTTTTTATAAGTCGCACCCCCATTTTGAGGTCTTCGGCTCATGATTCACTTTGTTCACTTCAGGAGTAAGTCATACTTGATCGTAAGTCACCCCCCCCCCCCCCCCGATTCAGAAAACCCTAAAAAAATTGGCCCGCTATAATTAGCCGTTCTGGAGTAGCTGCTATCTGTGTCGCATGTGTGTAAGACGGCTGGTCCGTGTATGAGTCATGGTCATTTTGTGCATGCTGAACCTAGATTGAAATTTATAGGGGCGTGCACGTGCGCCGCGTGCCCCATGCGGGCTGCGTGCCTGTTATCCACTGGCATTCTTGTGTTGTTGTTGTTGTTGTTGTTGTTGTTGTTGTTGTTGTTGTTGTTGTTGTTGTTGTTGTTGTTGTTGTTGTTGTTGTTGTTGTTGTTGTTGTTGTTGTTGTTGTTGTTGTTGTTGTTGTTGTTGTTGTTGTTGTTGTTGTTGTTGTTGTTGTTGTTGTTGTTGTTGTTGTTGTTGTTGTTGTTGTTGTTGTTGTTGTTGTTGTTGTTGTTGTTGTTGTTGTTGTTGTTGTTGTTGTTGTTGTTGTTGTTGTTGTTGTTGTTGTTGTTGTTGTTGTTGTTGTTGTTGTTGTTGTTGTTGTTGTTGTTGTTGTTGTTGTTGTTGTTGTTGGTTGTTGTTGTTGTTGGTTGTTGGTTGTTGTTGTTGGTTGTTGTTGTTGTTGTTGTTGTTGTTGTTGTTGTTGTTGTTGTTGTTGTTGTTGTTGTTGTTGTTGTTGTTGTTGTTGTTGTTGTTGTTGTTGTTGTTGTTGTTGTTGTTGTTGTTGTTGTTGTTGTTGTTGTTGTTGTGACGAGGCATTGTCTTTCTGCTTGTCCGACCTCTCTTCAAGTTTTGTCTCTCTGCTTGTCTGTTTCTCTAAATTGTATTAGACATTGTTCTGGAGATTGCCCGTAAAGCAAGACGTGGTGAGCGTCTTCTGCCGCTCACAAGCGTGAACAACTTCACTGTCTTGTATACCGAGGAAGGACATCGCCGATGAACGTTTGCCTGGACATCTTCCACTTCAGTCTGTGTGTGTGTGTGTGTGTGTGTGTGTGTGTGTGTGTGTGTGTGTGTGTGTGTGTGTGTGTGTGTGTGTGTGTGTGTGTGTGTGTGTGTGTGTGTGTGCATGTGCGTGTGTGTGCATGTGCGTGTGTGTGTGTATATGTGTGTATGTGTGTGTGTGTGTGTGTGTGTGTGTGTGTGTGTGTGTGTGTGTGTATGAGTGTGTGTGTGTATATGTGTGTGCTGCCATACATGGTATCAACGTGGACAAGCATATTCTTTGTGTAGTCGAGGACTACGAGTACCTTTCACCAGGCTGTCTTGAAACAGTCACAGCTGTATGTACGTTTGCTACCGACCCTGACGCACAAGCACACGTATACTGGTTGAGCACCACCGCATATACCTTGAACACATCTGCACACAACTTGCCCGTGAGCTGCCATGTACCTCGTACGTGTGGATGGAGGTCGAGGCTGACGACCGCCTCTGCAAGTCTGGTAATAAACTCGTCCGGGGCTGCTTGGTTACCTTGCCCGCAGCTGTATGCCAGTATCTGTGATCCCCGCTGCACCGGATTATTCCTATCATCTGCCCAAGTGCTTGTACAATTGATGAGACTCAATGTTAGTTTTTAGAGTTACTTCCTGGTAACGCCAATATTTCAATGTACTTTGTTCGAATTTGGGGCTTTCCCTTCCTAACTGTGTGGTATTTATACTAATATCATTGTTGCTCAGTCTCTATGGGTGAATACTGAATAGACGAACACCTGTGCCTGTTCTCTGCTCTTGTCCGAAAGTCATGCAGCCTGGCGGGTGTGTACGTGTGGGCACGCATGCATGCACTTGTGTACTCATGTGGGTTTGTGTGTGTGGATCAATGTTCTACGCCATGTAATCATTATTTCACGCATGAATCCTATTCCAAACATCAGGCCAATGATGTGACCGTTGCTATTATATCATGCATTTTGAAGTGTTGCCGGACAATGCCGAAATCGAGGCTATTTCAGGATTCATCCCAAGATGCGTACACATGCTTCAGAGTACAGTTCAGTAGTGTGCAATGAGGCTCAGGCATGTCGGTAGGGTTAACCCCTTGACAACCGAATTGTGTTCATAATAATCATGCCCTGCTAGTCTGTTGACCAGTGGTCGTGTGCCGGGATGCTGCATGCAGGGCGCATGATCGTAGAACACAATCAGAATAATAATTATTATGGCTTGTCCCGAGGGGAGCTCCCTTAGGGCGCGTTCAGACTACCGTGAACCCCGTCAAACCGTGAATGGCGATAAACCGTGAAGGACATTCACACTACCGATAACAAACTAACGTTACAGTGAAGTTTTCAGCTCTCACCGCGGCACTGACAAGGGATTTTCCCTTTTTTCCCCAGCGCGCATGCAGCCTGAGCACTTTTTTACTGCCGGTAAAAGTTTACTGCCGCAGCAGCCGCGGCAGTAAAACTTTCCCACCGGTAACGTGCCAGTAACGTCACGTGATCAAATCACCTTGGCGACTTTCCCAATCGGTCACTTTTTATCGGTAGTCTGAACGCGCCCTTACCCCAAAAGGTCCAAGTGCGGAGCTTTGCGAAAACGTTGATGCGATGCATCATTTTGTCGGTAATGAATCGGTAGAGCTCTACGATCTACGCGCATACTCATAGAGTCTGATTGCTTCTCGACTCACTGCTGACTACTGACTGTAGCGCACTGTATAATGTACTGATCAAAGTAGTAGATTATGTCTCCTGGTGACCTTGTGACCTTATGCACTTTGAACCCATCAGGGATGCAGCCTTTCTCCTTCTATTCACTCGCTGAGCCGAGGAGGAAATAGTCAGAAGCATTTGAGTTGTGTTGTTGGTGGATGGAGATTTCCTTTCGTCAAAGAGTTCTCGATCTGAAGTTCATCAGCCTGCTTGTGAAAGTTTTTGCGAAATTGTGCTACGCCAGCCATTGATCTTGTATTTCCTACCTGCATTTGACTGACAAGAAAATCCGCCAGAGATCAGATTGGCTGAGTGACAACATCGGACTGTCTTCTGACTCTTCGGTGCTTGTGGGAGAGACCGGCCCTTGGGCCTCTCTCCCATTCCCTGTCCCTGAGTGGACTAGCACGCCGTGCCCATATCGCGTGGTGTGATTCGGAGAGCGTAGGCTGTCTGGTTCAATACCAATCAGACGAAGTGCGTTGTTGACGGGAAAAAGAATTTCTTCGGTGAGTCCGTGTGTGTGTGCTTCCTTGTACGAAGGAACCCATAGAACAAGCTGTCAAGTAACTTCATCTACTTCTGTTTACATGTACCGGTAGATACACATGTATTTCAACTTTTCGAGTGACTAATGCCATGCTCCAATATCCTCTTGTAATTGGGCGTGATTTCGAGCGATTTTTTGTGTATGAGGAATGCGATACATAATACGTCATTGTCCTCATCAGTTCGCCCTTGCTTAGTGTATTTCACGACCAGCTCCTTACCAAACTTGAGGCCGCAGCGGCGCGTGTGCCTTTTGTGTTAAAGATAGAGCGATGCTGATACACGGGCAACTCCGAGTCTGTTTCGTACTCTGCCAAACTTATCAGCTACAGTACAGCAAGGCTAATTCAGCGAGCTCATGTCCTCAAGTTTTCAGACATCGGTTGTGGCCATCCCTGTTCTGGCTGGTGAAATTCCAACTCATCGACTATAGAGTAGCACAACGTTTGTGTCTTCGCTTGCACGGAATACGAGTGGTGTGGTTGTGATGGTGTTAGGCCTGTGCCCCTCTAACAGCGCTATTGTATTCATACTGAGGTCGAATTTCACTTGCCAGTATTATAGATTTACCTTTTACATGTACATGTATGGTATGGCAGGAAGCGAGAGCTCCGACGTTCGGAGCAGACACTTTCTTCACCAACCACCGCCGATGTCGCAGTATCTTTCGTAAATGTACGGTAGTTGCGGAATTCCATAGATCCACCACTACTAGTGCCAGCAAGTGTCTGTACAGTTGGGTATGGAAATAGCAGCTGTGTATGCAGCGCTTACATAAGAGAGCCGCAAGTACCAGGCACTTATGATGTTTAGTTTCTCTCACTGTGTTATTTCAATCTCATCATATCTGAGATACTGTGAGCCTTACCATTGGCTGACATTCTTCCATTCTTGCTTGTCCTGTGTGTGTGTGTGTGTGTGTGTGTGTGTGTGTGTGTGTTATGTGTGTGTGTGTGTACGTGTGTGCATGTGTGTGTGTTTGTGTGTGTGTGTATTTTGACAGCAGTTAGATCATCGTGTCAAGCAACATGCCACTTCCCTTTAACCCACCTCCGCCTCGGTCTCAGCTAACCGAGCTGGAGAAGAAACGCGAAGAGAACATTCGCCGTAATGAGGAAATGTTGATATCACTTGGTAAGCGAGAGCCTGTTTGTTATTATTATATCAACCACCCGTATTCTGTTTTTACAACAAATTATGTGTTTTCACAACACTCCCTAATGAAGCCCCAACGGAAAAAAATTGGGAGATTTTAACAATTGGAAATGAAGTGTAAGGCCCGTGTGGTTGTGGACGTGATAATTTAAAGGAACTCTTTGTCGCAGAGTACAAACGGTTATTGTGCACGTCTATTCTGCCCAGCTGTGATGATATTGGAACTATATCATTTGGTGCCATTAAATATCCCTATACATATACATATACAGTAACTATAACCTTCACATCCTCATATTTACACCTGTCCATATATGACATTAGAATAGCATGCTGCGTACTACTTCCCGTACTACCGGTACCTTTTCTAGTACTCACATATTGTACAACTTTACACACCAAGATAAAATAACAAGGATGACAGCCCTTCAGGGTTAGTTGTCGGTTAGCCGGACAAGAGTGGGTTGTTGGTGTGTCCTCCCCTAGGCCCTTCACATGGTGTCAGAAGTGGTCCAGTCACTGTGTGTCAGTACTGCGTACCTCCGTCGTTGCTGAAAGTTTGCGTATTTTTATTTCTAGTTTTTCGTTTTTTCGAGTTCGTGGGGCCGCAAGTGAGCTAGCCATGGATCTCGAGTCGTTGGCGTTTGCTCGCCACGAGCAGTTGAGGGACATCTGCCGGGGGCTGCATCTCCCCACCGGTGGTGCACGCTCTGATCTTGTGCGGCGGATCCTCTCCGTATCGCACAGCAGTGCGCGGATGGATCGGGAGATCGACACTGAGTTCGAGGAGGTGGCCCCGGATGATGACGAGCTCACTGGCTTACCTGATGCTGCTACCAGGTCGACGCTCCCTTCTCCACCCATGGATTTGTTTCGTCCCGCACCGTCTCCGAAACCTCGCTTGCCGAAAGTAAGTGATAATCCTTATTTCGGCAACAGTATTGTGAGCAACAAATTAGATTACACCAGTGAGCAGTCCTTTGCAATGAACCAGTCGCAGTTTCAGGCCAATCAGGGTTCTGCTCCTACTACTAGTCCTAGTACTTACCATACGCATGACGCACCTGCACTGGCTTCCGCTAGCCGTCGTACGCGTACTGGGCGTACACATAGCCATACTAAGGTTGCATGCTCTACTCCGGAGCCAAAAGCGGTCCACGTCCACCGTCAGCCCGTACATGTCGCTTTTGGTGAGGATCCCGTGTATGGAGACCCTCGGCCTAGTAGTAGTACGCACGAACTGAGTGATCAGGCGCAGGCCAGCACTAGTCGTACACGTACACCCGCAGGTCCGCATGCCCCGCACGTGCCCATCGATCCTGCTGCTGAGAACCCTGAGGCTGAGGCTGAACACGAACAGCGTTCCGCCACCGATGTCGATGTCGATGTCGATGTCGACTCGCCGTCCCAACTGTCGATGCTCACGCAGTTGGTCACGCAAATGGCGCAAGTGCAACTCACTCAGGCCACACGGCGATTCTCGCAGAAGGTGCCACTGGCTAAACTGCGCCCTGGGGACGATGTTGAGGCATTCCTCACCAGTTTCGAACGATCCATGCGGGCGTACAGAGTTCCTCTGGACGATTGGGTCTATTTGCTAAGCCCCCAGCTGACTGACAAGGCCTTGTTGGCATACACGGAACTTGCCTCCACTGAGGCTGACAGCTACGACCGCGTGAAGGAGGCCATTCTCCATCGCTATGCCGTTACCCCCGAAACGAGCCGCCGTAAATTTCGGGGCACTACGCTGCAGAGCTCGGAGTCCATGATTGACTTCGCCGTCCGTGTCCGTGACACTGGCAGTCGTTGGCTAAGCCCCGCATCCTCGCGCGAAGCCATATGTGAGTTGATCCTACTGGAACAGTTCTTGTCTGCGCTTCCTTTTGGTTTACGCACTTGGCTGCGGGAACGCAAACCGTCGTCCCTCGACCAGGCTGCTTCGCTAGCGCAGGACTATCTTGACGCACGGGATCGCGTACAGGAGCCCAGCAGTGGTCGTCTCAGCAGCGGCAGGGAACAGTCTCTTGTCTGCCACATTTGCCAGCAGCGTGGCCACATGGCCAGGGATTGTTCTAAGCGACGGGCACCATTGCCGAACACTGACGCACGTGCCCAGGTGCAGGGGTCATTTGCGTCACCCCGAGACCGGACGTCCGAGTCATCCAACCTTGCTCGAGTTCGCTGGGCTGCACCAACCTCAGGCTCAGCGCGGGACCGGCCAGTATCTTCCCCAGATAACCCCAGTCAGACCCACTTGTCATCTGACCGCCCAGTGACTTCTCGTCCTGACCGTCCCACACCACCACCGAGACGCCCCATGTCGCAGCCGCGTTGCTATAATTGTCGTGAGCTGGGACATATTGCTATTAAGTGTCCGAATCACACTCGCACCGCTCTGTTTTCCAGCCCAGATCAGGAAGTCCAAGATGCTGGTACAGTTCATTTGCTGCCGGATGAGGATGATCTGCTGGGTGAAGCATATTTCTGCTCACCCCCTCCACCTGTAGACTCTGGTCGGTTGCCCCCCGCTAATCCCAGCGCCGCCATGGGACCAGCACCGGAGTACACCGTCGCTGGGTACGTGAATGGTACCCACGTCCCGAGCATCGTTGTTGATACCGCGTGTGGCCGCACCATGGTACACAGGACCTTGGTCCGGGACCAAGATTTGTCTGGTGAGACTACCTCCATTCGTTGTGCCCACGGTGATGTGGCCAGTTACCCCATGGCCGATCTGACCATCACCATCGACGGCATGGTGTACTATGTCAAGGCAGCAGTGTCCGAGCACCTGCCCCGTCACGTGTTGCTTGGCCGTGATGTGCCCCACATACATGAGTTGGTCCGGCTGTGTCAGCCAGCCGCCACGGACGTCTTGGTCTCTACGCGTGCACAGGCCAAGGCTTCACCTGAGTCGACTGGTGCTGCTGGTTTGCACGACATCTTCCCGTTCGAGGATGAACTGTTTGAGGAGTTGGCCTCGAATGCAGCTTCTTTGCGTGCACCGCCGGCGGACCTATCTAGCACACCGGAGGTGACACCGCCACCTATCTCTGCACCCGATTTGCCAGATGCCACCCGTTTCGCCGACGAGCAACGGCGTGACCCATCTCTTAGCCCATGTTGGCACTATGCTACTGGCCGACACAAGACACCCGTCAATGGCAGTACCTTCTGTGTTCGCCAGGGCCTCCTCTACCGGGAATACTCACCGGATGGTGAAGCGGGGATGGACACCACCAGCCCCTACTACCGCCTTCAGTTGGTTCTGCCCACGGAACGGAGATCCACCATTCTGCACCTCGGCCACACCGTCCCCATGGCTGGCCACATGGGACAGGCGAAGACATCCCAGAGGATTCTTCTCCGTTTCTGGTGGCCGACGATTCTTCAAGATGTCGCACAGTATTGTTCCGCCTGTGAACCATGTCAGCGCACCGCCCGTGTTCTGCGTCATGATCGGGCACCACTTATTCCTCTTCCTGTTATTGGCGAGCCCTTCCGGGTGGTAGCTATTGACATTATCGGCCCATTGCAGCGTACGCAGTCCGGCAAGAAGTACATCCTCACCTTGGTGGATTATGCAACCCGCTATCCGGAGGCAGTCGCTCTTTCCAATATTGAGTCGACTACCGTGGCTGATGCGTTGATCTCCATCTTTTCCAGAGTAGGACTGCCAGACAAAATCCTCTCCGACCAAGGCTCCAACTTTACATCGGACGTCCTCCGACAAGTTGCTGCTTTACTCCGTATCCAGCTTACCACATCCACTCCGTACCATCAACAGACCAATGGCCTCGTCGAACGGTTCAATGGTACCCTCAAGGGTATGCTTCGTCGGTTTGCTGCTGATGCGCCACGAAGTTGGGACGAGGTGCTCCCATATGCTTTATTTGCGTATCGAGAGGTGCCTCAAGCCAGCACTGGTTTCTCACCATTTGAGCTCCTGTACGGCCGCCATGTCCGCGGCCCGCTGGATCTCGTGCGCGATGCTTGGGCTCAGCCAACGGAGGAGCTCCGGACCACTACTGCCCAGTTCGTCCTCACCATGCGGGACCGGCTTGAACGCATATCGACTGAGGCTGGCTCCCACCTTGCCACCGCGCAGCAACGGCAGAAGGCCTACTATGACCGCCTGAGTCGGGAACGCACATTTGCTCCGGGAGACGAGGTACTGCTCTTGCTTCCGGCTTCGGCTCGCAAAATGGAAGCCGTGTGGCAAGGCCCTTACCCTATTCGGCGTAAGGTCGACAAGGTCAATTATGAGATTGACATGGGACCCCACCGCACGAAGCGATATCGGGTTTTCCACATCAACCTCCTGCGGCGGTTTCGCCGGCCCCAGCTCGCGGCCTTCACCGTTCCTATGGCGGAGGACGACCCAGACACGGAGCTGCTGCTTGACGACTGCTCCCCTCTACACGTTGATGGTGGCCGTCCTACCATTAACCCCGACCTTTCGCCGGACCAGCGGCAACAGCTCGACATGCTGCTATCGGAGTTTGAGGATACCCTCTCACCCCAGCCTGGCCAGACGACCGTGGTGGCTCACTCTATCCACACTGGCGACGCCACACCCATTCGTTCCCGGCCATATCGTCTTGCCGCTGCGCACCATTCTGTTGTCCGCGATGCCGTCGACGAAATGCTGGACATGGGCGTCATACGCGCATCCCGCAGTCCGTGGTCTTCACCCGTTGTGCTTGTGCCGAAGAAGGACGACTCGATCCGCTTCTGTGTCGACTACCGTGCCCTTAATCAGGTGGCCCAGTTCGACTGTTACCCGATGCCGCGGGTGGACGAGATCCTCGACTCTGTCGGGTCTGCCCAGTTTCTCTCCACCCTTGACCTGTCCAGGGGGTATTGGCAGATCCCTCTGGCAGAGGATGCGTGTGCCAAGACGGCCTTCACCACACCGTTTGGCCTGTACGAGTTCACTATGATGCCATTCGGGCTCCATGGAGCGCCTGCAACATTTCAGCGTTGCATGGATACCGTCTTGGCTGGTCTCCCGTTTGTCCTGGCGTATTTGGACGATGTCGTCATCTTCAGTCCGACTTTTGAGGACCATCTTGTCCAGCTCCGCCACGTTCTTGGTCGCCTTCACGACGCTGGGCTCACTGTGAAGCCGAAGAAGTGTTTATTGGGTATGGTCGAAACTCCCTTCCTTGGCCATGGGATTGGTCATGGTCGGGTGCGTGCGGACCCTGGCAAGTTGCAAGCTATCGACGATTGGCGACAGCCCACGACCAAGAAGGCCCTGCGTTCCTTCCTGGGGTTGTGCGGCTACTATCGTCGCCTCATTCCTCACTTTTCAACCATCGCGGAGCCCTTGGTAGCCATGACGTCGAAGGGCCACCCCAACACCCTCCACTGGACGACCTCAGCTGCACAGGCCTTCGTTCAATTGAAAGGCCTCCTTGTCTCCGACCCGGTCATTGTTGCGCCGAACTTTGCTGCGGAGTTCTACCTGCACACGGACGCGTCCGATGTTGGTTTGGGCGCTGTCCTGACCCAGCGTGATGCCCAGGGCACCGAACACCCCGTAGCATATGCCAGTCGCAAGCTCCTCGACCGTGAACGCCGTTATGCCACCATCGAGAAGGAGTGTCTCGCCCTCAAGTGGGCCATTCTCAAATTCGCTCCGTATCTCCTCGGCAGACGCTTCACCTTGATTACCGACCACCGCCCTCTTCAATGGATCGCTCAGCATCATAGTGGCAATGCTCGGGTGGCCCGATGGGCCATTGCTCTGCAGCCGTTCGCTTTCACCGTTGTGCACCGGCCTGGCGCTCTCAATGGCAACGCCGATGCATTGTCCCGCCAGATGTGACTTTCTTCTCCTGCTGTGTTGCTCCTAGCTTCTTCATCTATTGTTTCTCTCTTCATTTAGTCATTGTCCCAGATGGTATCTCGGACCGGAGAAGGGGAATGGTGTGATGATATTGTACCTTTATATCCTTTAGTGCCGTTACATTCTATATCTATTGTTTCTCGTTTAGTCAATGTCACAGATGGTATCTGTGACCGGAGAAGGGGAATGGTGTGATGATATTGGAACTATAATTATCATTTGGTGCCATTAAATATCCCTATACATATACATATACAGTAACTATAACCTTCACATCCTCATATTTACACCTGTCCATATATGACATTAGAATAGCATGCTGCGTACTACTTCCCGTACTACCGGTACCTTTTCTAGTACTCACATATTGTACAACTTTACACACCAAGATAAAATAACAAGGATGACAGCCCTTCAGGGTTAGTTGTCGGTTAGCCGGACAAGAGTGGGTTGTTGGTGTGTCCTCCCCTAGGCCCTTCACACCAGCATTGTGCTGTCTTCCGAATTTGATCCCGTCCTCCCTAGCGCTGGCATCTCTTGATAAGCCCAAACCCTGGATGAACCAGCTCTACTTTCAGGAACCAAAGTCTCCCCAGGACCCTACTCAGTCCAACAGAATTTCCACCTCACAAATGGCGCCCAAATAAAGAGGGAAGAAGGACCACTATAGTTGCCATTATACTGGTGAAAAGATGCTTCAGGCAAATGTTGCTCCTTTCAGAGAATTATGATCATCATGATCAGCCTCAGTGAATGTTATTGGCTTTATTCTAACCTGACTAGTGACGACTCTGATAATCTCTGGCTGAAAATTGCACGCCTGTCCACCTTTACTCATTATCTAGCTGTAGACAGCTCCTCTGCCACCGGGGGCTCAGAACATCTTACCGTGTCTCTAAGCAAGCAAGTCATGTTGTTGTTGCTGCTGCTGCTGCGGTCATCATCGTCATCGTTGTTGCTCTAGGTTTGCTGGCACCCAACGGATCGTTTTTCCAAGCCAAGAAGCGTTCTAAGCAGCTCTTGATGGAGTCCGAGAGCGAGTCAAGCGAAGATGAAGAGTGGACACCACAGGCGGAGTGGCAGAAGAGAATGAAAAAACAGCCGAGAACCTCATTTGGTAAGCTACATCAAACGGCTATAGCCGAAGATCCTGGCGATGTACTTACCAGAATATTGTCGATCCTCCGTTGCTGTATCTCCCCCCCCCCCCCCCCTCTCTCTCTCTCTCTCTCTCTCTCTCTCTCTCACTCTCTCTCTCTCTCACTCACTCTCACACACACACTCTCCATAGCCAGGATTCGCATGTCATCACGTACATTCAAAATCAACATAATTTTGCGAATCGACCTTTTTTCAGCATCACTTTTCAACGAGGACCAACCAAAGTCGGCCGAACGAAGCCCAGAGGAAGAAATCACCCTCTCCACTTCACCATCACGATACTGACATAGATACGAGATGAAACAACTAAAAAATCCACAAGAAAACTGTACGGCCATCTTCGCGCTGACTTTGGTCTGATAATTTCTATCACGATCAAAAAAGTACGAGGAGCACTCAAAATATGCTACAGACGTACCTTTATCACTCTCTACTCCTTTTTCAAGGCACAAAAGTCGATTCTCCACTTTCAAACCAGGAACCAGACATACCAGTGGTCCTTTTCAGCTGCTCCACGAGCGCAGGAAATGTTCACCAAGGGGCGCAGAGCAGCATCCATTCCAGAAAAAGAGCTAAAATACGAGTGAGACTGCATGCCTGAGTACATGCATGAGTACATGCAGAAAATAGTCAATTTCAGCGTTTCTGCTCCAAACAGCAACTTGCTTCGACAAGCTACAAAGATTACACCAAAGGATCAAACAACAACCGTTTTCTTCATTTTTTTGACAGGTGGCTTCCTTGTGCTTGGCCCAGCACGCCAAAAATCACACCTCGGAGGAGTACAAAAAATACAACTCTCATATGTCCTTGATTGCTGGCCATGCTCTCTCTCACTCTCCCTCTCTCTCTCTCTCTCTCTCTCTCTCTCTCTCTCTCTCTCTCTCTCTCTCTCTCTCTCTCTCTCTCTCTCTCTCTCTCTCTCTCTCTCTCTCTCTCTCTCTCTCTCTCTCTCTCTCTCTCTCTCTCTCTCTCTCTCTCTCACGCACACACACACACTCTCTCTCTTTCTTTCTTTCTACACTCATACCTTGTTTATCCGGGCGATCCTTGACCAGGCACTACCAGAAACTTTGAAATGTCTGTAACTCTGAATCACATACATTGTAACAAAGAAAAGGGCCAAGCAATCGCATGTCACCACCGTATATTGAAAATCAACATAATTTTTCGAATCAACCTTTTTCAGCATCACACGTACAAGTGTGTGTGTGTGTGTGTGTGTGTGTGTTCGTGTTCGTGTTCTTGTTCCCTGTACTGGCTATGCTTTCATGGAGCTAATGAATAACAGCACTATTCTTGTATTCTGCTTATGTGTCAGACGAGGTGGAGAGATACAAGGCTAAAGCAGCCAAGGCTGGAGCTACCAAGAAACAGGTGTGTGCATGTTGTATTTCAGTACAGTCATTTCTAACTTTCGCCACAATTTCACGTTGTGTCAAGTGCCGGATGGCAAGTAATGGTGCAGTTTCCACTGCAGTAGTATGCTCTCACTGTCATAGAAGCCAGTACTGGAAAACCCAGTACGGCCTCATGACCATCAGGGTTCAGTTCTCCAGTATTGCTTGGACTGGTTCACAATCTCTGTTCACAATCTCTGTGGCTGAGCTGCGTCCCTCTATTATCGGCAGAAAGGAAACGATGCTAGTAAGCGGGAAACATTGTGAATTAGGTGCTTGTCTGTATGCGTGATGATATCTGTGTTTCTGTGTACACTCGGAGAGAGTTGCGGTTGCTCGTGACAGTGCTCAATACACGTGTCGTAGGGGCATATACGTTCTAAAAGGGGCAGGGACAACACACGTAGGTGCAGAGCCTAGTACACACACTTTATTTCAAGTGCATGTTTCTTTGTATGTGTCTTTGTATGCATGTTCATACTTTCACTGTTGAAAGCATGAAGATGATGACAACTTGGACCACAGCGTGACGGCAGATCAATACCGTGATGATGATGCTGCTGATGATGATCGAGGAGAAAAGGCAGCCAGCAAAAACAAGCCGTAAGCTCTCCTCATGTTATGGTGTCAACCTTATTTTCGACCCAGTGTCATCTCAAGTACTATCCTGAGCAACGTTTTAATCCAGAGGTACACTCGTATCTTTCCTATCAGGATTTTTCTCTCTCTCTCTATCTCTCTGTCTTTCTCTCTCTGCCTCTCTTTGTCTCTCTCTCTGTCTCTCTGTCTGTCTCTCTGTCTGTCTCTCTGTCTGTTTCTCTGTCTGTCTCTCTCTCTCTGTCTGTCTCTCTGTCTCTTCTCAACGGTCAATAGCAACAATATGTATCGATTTCTGTCTAACGTTTTCTATTTTAACGACAGATTTCTCCTCGTTAACTCGTTAGAATTAGCACTTCGTTATATATAAGGCTTTTACAGTAGCTGCTTCTCCTGCGACGGGCATACGCGTACATGTACATGTACATGGTATGTGGTGCAACATTGTTTTGGCTTTCTGTTGGTTTGTTTGTGTGCTTCTGTGCATGTGCATATTTGTGTTCAAGTGCTTGTGCGTGTGTTTATGTTTGTTCACCTGTGTCCATGTGTTTTGATTCGGTTGCATACAGGCTTGTACTTGAACCTGAGGACACACCGAATTTGGCATGTCCAATGTTGATAAGCCCTGACCCTGCCGACGTGGTGGAAGGTGACACTGTGACAGCTGAATCAGAGTCCTGTGATGGTAAGCGTGTCCGCTACCCGAGACGTCAAGCAGCCTCTAAAGTGTCATACAACGAAGCAGAGTCAGACGATGACGAGTACATTTGTGAGTAATGTTTTGCAATGCTTTGGACTAATGGCCTTGTTCACCTGCAGGTGTGTGGGTGTGTTGGTGTGTGCGTGGGGGGGGGGGGGGGGGGGGGGGAGGAGTACGGGCATGCATATGCGTGTTTGGAGATGTGGTAGTAAATACTTGGCTAGTGAAGGTGCTTAGTTCACCTACACATGTATCACATGATGAGTTGACATTTGAACTCAGGTTCCAGTCATGACCTTTGACCTCTAGCTCTATGTCCGTTATGGCAAACACTCATGAAGGCATCAAAATCCACCCACGTGGGCAAAGCAGTATGATACACTATATACAGTGACTTGCGTCATTGAAAAAAAAAAATGATTCCGTGAAATGGGTTGTGACCTTTGCAGTGTTCAGGGAAAGAGCATGTGTGCTCACCACTTCTCTTTGCGTCTTTGGATGATCAAAGTACTTGAATAACCGGTAGGGACTATTAGGTATTGATTTACTTTAGTCATTCCGGAGGCGTGGGTTGGAATCCCACCGCTGCCACCAATGTTGTATCCGGACTTTCTTCACCTTGCTCCCAGCCTCGTGCCATCTCCACACTTTGAGAAGACGATGAGCTAACTACATTTAGAAGACTGTTTATTACAAGACAACTATGGCAACACAACTGGACATGACGAGCTGAAGACGAAGACTGCTTTTCACCCCACAGCAATACGCGCATGCACCAACATCACGTACACACGACGTACACAGAATAATATACTTCAACATTAGTAAATTTTCTGACTCAGTTGCATAGCTGGGGTTAGGTGGAGGGTGTTGTATTATGATGTAATGCATTACGTAGCCATGCAAGAGCATGCGCGAGATACGCATCTCGCAGCTGCCTACTTTCATGCAGCATCCTTTAGATGTCGTGGTTCTTATGATTTGCCTACAATGGCCAAGTGAGAATATAATCCTATCGTAAACAACTAACTTGTTTACCCCGAAACATGGTGTCAGAAGTAAACTAAATAAACGCCCTAGAATTGTCGCAGTAGCGCCACCGGTGCAAGAGGTAAAATGGCAGAAGCAGCCGGATTTACCCCGCCGTCGATGGATTGGCAAGCCGCAGATTTACCTGATGAATTCGAGCGGTTCCAACAATACTGCCTTCTAGTTTTCCAAGGGCCCTTTTCCGACAAGTCCGACAAGGAAAAGGTCGCCTATGTCATGCTATGGATCGGGAGAACTGGTGTTGATGCTTTCAATAGTTTCGAGTGGGATAATGCAAGCGACAAATCCAAAGTAGCTGCCGTCTTCAAGAAATTTAATAAGCATTTGCAGCCACGGGTAAATGCACGACTGGCTCGGTTTGAGCTTCAGAAATACCGCCAGCAACCCGACGAGTCTGTAGATGATTTCTTTGCGAGGTGTAAGAAGAAGACGTCCAAGTGCAAGTTCAGGGACGCTCAGGAGACTAACGATCGCCTGATAGAACAGCTAATCGTGGGGACGAAGCACTCGAAAGTGCAAGAACGCCTGCTGGAGGGTGGTAGTGATTTGACTCTGGACGAAGCGCTTGACAAGGCCCGTACTTATGAAGCAACACAGCGCCACATGGAGCAGCTGTCCACCGCCACCAGCAGCAGCCGTCTACCTGAAACGGTTCACGCCATTTCCAAATCTGTGGGACACGCAGACTGCGGCAAATGTGGACGAACCCACCACCCAAGCAAGTGTGTGGAATATTGCATGCTTGTCAGATAGTGCATGCTTGTTAGATAGTGCATGCTTGTTAGAGATTGCATGCTTGTTAGAGATTGCATGAATAAGAGTATTGTCACAAACTAATGGTTCGCACCAAGCATACATACAAGCACACAAGCAATTGATTATACAGTCTTCTTTCTTCTTTCTATCGTGTCTTCTAAAGTATTTTACTTACCTTTTGCGCCATGGTACGCCTACGACGTTCCCATGGTCTTCACGTACGACATACGGTTTTCTAGCCCTTTTTCCTGGAGCTTGTCTCCTCGTGTCGTTTCTGTTTCATTGGGTTTTTTCGTTGTCTAATGATAAGCAACAGTTTGTTTGAGTCTAAGAGAACCCAAGATGCGCTCGCGTTGAGCCAAAGCAGCCTTACAAGATAACCCTTTTTGTAAATTGGTCCTTCGAGCCGGATTGTCGGATTCGAACCAGAGAAGACTAGAGATGGCAGATAGTATTGGTCCGCAGCAGAAGATCGCCAAGGCTAAGGCGAAGACGGAATATACTAATGTCCGCCGTGGGTTGCTGGTGTCCATCGTATCGGAAACCGTGAGTGTCGAGGAGATTAAATATGGGCTACTAATGCTCGAGAACAGGATGAACTCCGTGATGGAGGTTGTTTCAGAGCTGGCAGATATATTTTGCAAGAATCCTACTTATTTAGAGAGTTTGGCAAAGGAGACTGCAGAATTAGAGGTGTCGTACACTGAGGCAGTGACGCAGGCCAGCACTACTTTAGCAAATATCAGCATGAGTAGATACAACAGTGCACACACAAGCGAAATCACGGGGTTGCGATACACCCGTCACCCAGAGAGAGTTCAGGCATATTTGGAATCCATTTCAGCTACAGACAAAATACGGACTGCACAGGAGCAGCTCCAGTGGAGTAGCAGTAGCATGCAAGAATTAGATACATCCAGCACGAGTCGTAGTGTACCAGGTGTACAGGCCGGTGGCCAGAGTGAACCCAGTACTAGTGGTAGTACCGTACACATTCCCGCATCGGATGCTAACACCGCAGCTACGGAGCTTGTGTTTGTAGGCCAGGATAGTGCATGCACGAATGTAGTCATGTCCATGCCTGATGTATCTGGTATCCCGTCAGCAGCTACAGGGGCCACCGGGCCAGCAGCGCGCGACCTCGACCGGAACAACGTCCCAGCAGAGCAGCGCAAGCAGCAACAACCAGGTGCCGGTGTTGGCGTGAGTACAGATTTGCGTCTGGCTGTGAGCAGTAGTGACACCGGTACCAACCCTCGACAGTCGTCAGTCTCGTCACCGTACGACGTCGGACGTCAACAGATCACGCAGAACACGACGAGCACGAGTACACCAGTCTCGAGTGCTGGTTACACCAACACAACACGAACAAACGACAATCGCACATTCACGATCACAGCTGCAACACCAACGCTGCAATACGGAACAACAGCTACACCAACACAACAACACAGCCTCAGTTCAGTCCGTACACTTACTGCGAGTGGTACGTCGTCGAGAGTGAACACGACGAAATTTGCTCAGGGTTTCGGCACCGCGACTGACCCAGCGTCCGCTTATAGTGGTTCAGCAGCATCAGCATCAGCCTCTTTTGGAGCACATTCCCACCTGGCCCCGGCCTCTGCGAGTACGATCCCCTACGGTAGCCGCTTGCCGCTCGACGTACTCGGAGTGCCACAATTACAAGCGGCCCAGAGTCAAACCCCGCAATGGACGCAGCCAGATACGGCAGCTAGCCAGTGGCCGCCGCCGTGTAGTACAACGCCTAATTTAGCTGGTTCGACACAGTGGTCACCAGTTCCACCTGCAGCAGTGTCGTCCAACAACGCCGCTTTTGGGGTACAGAGACTACAGACGCAGTACAATGTCAGTGGTTTGTACCCATCACCAGCTCTACATCCACCAGTGAACGCCGTTTTTGGTGGATCGCCTGCACAGAATGGAAGTGCACTGTACCCAGGCCAACAATCAGCATCCAATTATGGCCCTTATGGCGGAACCCCAAATGGGTATGGATTGACTGGACCAGTACCAGGATTCACACCTGGTCCTTCGCATGCACCGCAAGGCAATCCACCATCAGACGTTTATCGCCATTTAAGAAAGATCAAGATACCAACCTTTGACGGCGACAAAAAGCTATACGACACATGGCGTACGTCTTTCAACGTCTGCGTCGATCAACAACCTCTGTCACCGGAGCTGAAGCTGTTGCAGCTCAGGCAATATCTGTCCGGTCCACCGTTGAAGACTGTCGAGACGTATGGTTACTCGGCAGCGGCCTACGCGGCAGCACTCCAGCGACTTGACCAAAAGTACGGCGGTGAGAAGCGCAAAACAGCCGTCCACATGTCCGCGCTCCAGGACATGCCAGCAATCCGTGAGCGTGGCACAGCCAAACAGCTCGAGCGTTTCGCAGATCTTGTGCAAGTCGCCAAGATTAACTTGATTGATGCTGGCCGTCAGAATGAGCTGTCGTACGGTACGTTCTGCACTCAGCTGCAGCAGAAGCTGAGCCAAGATCTGTTAACGGCGTACCACCGGTGGCGTTGCGATAACAATATTGTCGAGTCGGTCGACTCGCTATTGCAGTGGCTAGTACGGGAAGCAGATTTCCGCACGGAAGCGGAGGAGACCCTGCAGAGTGTCTCGCATAGCGTTGCGGCCACACGTCTGATGAGCAAGCCTGCCAAATCAGACATTTCCACAGCAGCAGCTCTTACCGTCACCTCATCGAGCGTAGAATGTGTGTTTTGCGGCAGCGGACACGAGTCCTCGCAATGTTCGTCCATCACAGACATCAAGCGCCGCAAGGAGCTGATACGCAAGAATGGTCGTTGCTTCATCTGTCTGAAGAAGAACCACATGGCTCGCGACTGCAAGTCCAAGCTGAGATGTAGCAAATGCGAGCATCGACATCATACGTCCATTTGCGAACCCAAGTCGTCAGAGCAGCCTGGGACTGGCGCGAAGACATCCTCTCCGCCATCTAGACAAGGCGGAAGTGGAAAATGGTCGAAGCCAGTGTTTTCGTCAACAACCGCAGCTACTGTCAGCGACAGCGGAGCTGTATTTCTACAAACTGCACAGACCTCGGTGGTCTCGCCTCAACGTCCAGATCGAAAAGTGCCTGTGCGAGTAATGCTAGACGGTGGGAGCCAACGCTCGTACGCTACATCATCGGTACTGACTCAGTTGGATGTGCGCCGCTCCGGTCAAGAACGTGTAGTGATAAACGCGTTTGGCGGCGAACAGCCAAGCCC